ACAGGCGTGAGCCACCATGCCCGGCCCTGACTCATTTTTACCCAGGCCATTTCTCAGGGTTGTGTTTGCAGAGAGCAGTCTTGAAGGATGATGCCCAGGTATAGTACCATAAAAACAGTCAAATCCCCAGCTCAGTGCTCTCCTGTAATGCAACCCACTGTGTGTGCAGGTCTCCATCATGGGCTCTTTGTGTTGCCCCCACGCGACCTGGGGAGCAGGAGAAATCAATGTGAATGAACATGCTGACAACTGTGGCTACTGTTTTTCTGTGAGTCATAAAGTCTCAGCTCTAAGTCAGGACTATGTCTTCTGTTGGCATTTATGAAACTGGCAAGCTGAAAGTGGCAAGCTAACTTTTTAGCTTGCAAGTGGGGTGAAATCTCAGACCCTCACTCACAGTTCTTGACAGCTATTTCTTGCTCACCAGGTTTAATTAGCAAATGTGATCAATATAATAAACCCATTTGATATTTTGAGAGCTATCAAGAAGATCTGGGTCCCTCTGGACAATGTTACAGTGAAAGACAGGAATTGATAGTAGGAGAATGTACTTTGTTTTGTGTGGAACAAAAACTGTTTTAGATTAAAAAAATGTGTTCTCTTTGATTCTAACTAATGCCATTTGCTTCTGTAACTGCGCTTGCTTTTAGTTGTTAGTCAAATATAGTTAATCAAAATGAAAAACAGGGCAGGAGTAACTCCATGACAGGCTGAACTTCCTAGAGTAGGCCTAAGTTTCAGTTCCCCTCCCCCAAACCGAAACGCGGACCAAAACTGGCGCCGGAAATTAAAAATCCCGAGGCTTGGGGCCAGCCAATCAGGAGTCGAAACAATCCTCCACTTTCAAGGGAACCAATGGACTAAGGCGGGGGGGAAGGTGTGCCACCGGTGTGTCATGTGCAAAAAAAAATTTAAAAGCTTCACTTTTGCCCCAGAGCAGGGTCCTGGTTCATAGGGAGGCCACTGCGTTGGTGCTCTGGGACTTGGACCCTAGCTCGAGCTAGCCAATAAATTCCTTTGCCATTTACAGCCTCGGGGACTCCGCCTTTCTGTTCCTGGGGCCGAGGGGAACCGGCTCTAACAACACTATAGGCAGTAGATTTAACTAGCGCTAAGGCAAGACGATAATGCTATAATACTGTCCCAACACGTAAGTACAAACTGCTTCAGTTTTTTCACATTAGAATATGGGCAAAACCAAGAAAAATGCATTTGCTTGGTCAATAGCTTCAAACCAGCTGGCAAAGATGTGTGATTTGTGTATAAAGATGATACATCTGAAACTGCAGTGATTGACATCATTGCCTAATTGCTATAATCTATTGTCATTCTCCGGAACCCATCTGGCCTTTGCACTGGCAAGATGAGCAAGGTAAGTGGGTACATAGCTATAAAAACTATCCCAATATCTCTCAAGTCTTCAAAATGATCTCTGAATTGGAGGCATAGGCAAAGCGGCATTTTCAGGGGCTTCCACGTGGCCCTTCTACCATGATATTCTTTACTCCTTGGATCTGAGATGAACCTGTATAGTCAGTAAGCATTTCCATTTTGTATTCTAGAACTGGATGGATCTAGTGGACACTCTGAGACAGGTTCAGACCTACACGCCGTTTGCCACCTGTTCTCCAGAAGCTCCCACTATGACTGGTGGTCCACAGTGGCATTTTAGGTTTTTAGAGTGTAGCAGAAAGGCAGAGCCATTATCTAATAACCCCTGGGAGCTCTGCTTATTCCCTTGCCCCCAAGGCATAGTCACATCGTAAATGGCTGCTGTTCCCTCTGGGGAAGCTTGGGGAGAAGATTTATCACATATGATTGTATTCATGTTGCAGGGTCCTTTCTCACAGGGGCAAGACTTTTCATTAGTCAAGGAGCTCTCGGTCTGTGAACTGGCTTAAGCCTGGGAACCAAGCAAGAGGCTGTGAATCACCACAACGCTGCCTTCAGTTGGTTTCTGCTTTGCAGATGTAGTATTTTTCTGCCTGTACACACCAAGCAGCACTATACTATGGCGCACTCTTGAGCAATTAGTCATTGCCGCAAATCCCTGCCTGTAATTACTATTCAGTCCTTGGTATATCGTGACAAGCGCTGTATCGCCTTATCTGTTAAGTGTCAACCAGCCCTGAACACTGGTGGGTCCTGTCATTCACATGGAGATCAGAGAAACTATTTTCATTACAGCATCCTCTACCATCATTTCTGGCCTATTAAGAAAAGTTACCTAAGTCTTTTCAAGGATGCTGGAATCCTCTTTATGTACGCATTGCTCAACACCTTGGTCAAGGGAGGATTCGGGGGGATATGTATGTTTAGGAGTGGCTTGGCTAATTAGGTTACACAAATAGATGTTCTCCAACATTCCCATCTTCCTGAGCCTCTGGACTCCTTACACCACAGAATGCCAGGTAGGTTTTAGCATTTTGACCTAACTGACTGTAAACCTCTATTTAGAGTCCAGCTTTCAACTAGTGAAACTAGCAGATGACTAAAGGCATTCCCAGGTACTCAAGCCAAAATATTAAATGGGTAAAGTGCACCCATGACAATAAATCTGGCCAGGTCCTTATGATTTGTCCTTTTGGTTTAGCACTATAACAATCCTCTGTGGACTCTCAAAGTCTTGTAACTCCTTTGGTGTGTGGGCTATTTCCTTGCACAGCCCCTCTGCACTTGCTTATGTGAGGTCAGAGGTGGGTGCTGAGGAGAATTGGCAGAGACTTGTAAAGGTCCTACTCCTGGTGCAGTTGGGGAAAACTAGGGAACCCCTCAAATCAGGATGGGGTGGAGGAGGCTGCTTCTGCTGGCAAGGGAGGTTTATAGAAATACGGAGGATTACAGTTCTCAGCCTTGTCAATTTTGCCCAAATGTCATGATAGCCATTCCTGGGGTCCCACTCCTTCCCCATTAGAATTGTTACCTTAGCCTAAGACAGTGAGCACGGTTGAACGTTTAAATAATCGTGCCACATTTACAACCAGACTCGGGCTTACTGTCAGACATTTGCATTTAATTTTTGGCCACATCTTCCCTAACACTTTAGGAAAGGAGGGACTCCTTCAGAGCTTCCACTGATAACCTTCTTGTTTTCAAAAAATCTTCTTAGTTGTATGCTCTCTAGAACGGTCAGGTGAAACCAGGTAACACTAAAATTTGCATAATCACTCATAAAATGTTGGCTTAGTAACTACGTGCCATGGCCATTTGATCTTTGAATGGATTGCTCCTTATGTACACTTAGTCTTACGCTACCACCCGTAATAAATTGAGTAATCGTGATGCCACGATGTGCCTTGGATCATGAGCATCTGTTTTTCCCTAGCAAGAGTTTATCCCTGTATCCTTCAAATACAAGCAACTCAATTCCAGAATTCCATATTGAGGGGCAATTCCTTAAGGCCACTGTTGTATTAGTGAGGATCACAAAGTTAACAGTTGCCCCACTCCAATTTAGCATAACTCAGTGAAAGATAAATAAGGGACTATTTTCAAAAATGTGCCCGGGATGTAGGGAAACCATAAGCCACAGTACAATATCCTGGGACTAGTAACAACATGGTATTCTTACCTCTAGGTCTGAAGGGATTAGGGCAGTCCCAGGTGGAGAGGGAACCTCCACAGCTCTGTGTGGTTTTCAATGTTGAGACAACCTGCCAACCCCAGGTGTCGCCGGAGAGTTGTGGATGGGGGGAGAGCCTCCCTCTTCTGAAGCAAAACAGAAACCAGAGTCAGAAAATCTATTGACGTAGCCAATACAGATCAGCATCCACAGCACAGAGCAGGCTGGAAAAGAGTGGGGCGTGGAAGTAGAGGGGCAAATAAAAAATATCCAATACAGTTCAATCTGATTTTTTAAAAAATGTGAGCTAACAGCATTGCTTTGTGGGAAAAAAAAACTATGAAAGGTGAAAAATACAAACAGAATTGGGCTATTAACATGTTAAGAGTTAAAACAAGCATTTGAGTGACTTAAAGAGATTTATATTCAGATTGTTAATTTGATGAGTAATAATCACAGTATAAAATAATAAATATAAATTAAGTGTGTTTGAAAATAATTGTAAACGATATTAGCATTTTTTGATAAAAATAAAACTCTGTAACAGTGTTCTCATTGTGCCTCACTCCTGAAAGATTAAAAAAAGCCTCTATGAAAACTTTTATTTGTATAAATATTGTTAAGGTAGCAGGGTTTGGCTTTAGGACAAATCGAGTGTCATTGAATATAATATTCCTCTTCTGTAAAATGCAAACAGTGGTACCTATGCCCTATGAGATATCTCACAGCGTTGAAGTGAAGATAAATATGTAAACGGCTTAAAACATCCCTGCCATATAATAATAGTATGTAAGCTATAATCGTTATTAGTAGATACCTACAATTAAAATAAAAGCCAAGACGTTATTTATCAAGGGCATTGCTTGTCAAAACGATCAATTATGAATTATTGGGAATGGCAGGTTTCTTTTGTCTGCCTAGTTTCGCTCCGGTATCCTGAGGTAAGAAACAGCATCTCTATGTGCTGAGCCCCTGCTATGGTCAGTCACTAACAATAAGCACGTTCACACGAACTATGAATTTAATTTGCTTTACATTTCCCCCATTCAGCCCAGGAAACCGCGAAAGTAAAGCTAATTAATATAATTCTGGGCAAGGGTATATTCTATGAGAAGTCACTTAAAATCAATTTTTGCTTACTCAACAATTTTACCTGAGGTTGTGCCGGGCAACCGCCATGATCACCACATTTACTGTGGAAATGCTGTTACTCTCGTCCCTTCAACACAACCTGCTCACAAAATCTAAAAGCTGATTTCATTTCTATGCCTCGGGTTTCAGGTGGTCGCCAGGGTTCCTCTACCGTTGGCGCCAGATCAGCCAAGAGCGATTGGCAGCCCGACGCAATCGTTTAAATAAGGCGTTGCTGTCTCATTGGCCAGGGGCTGCTGCTCATTGATTGGTCCCCTGATGAGGAAGGCGGTGCCCGGAGGTGCCCATTGGTGGAGGCGGGAAGTTTAAACAGAGGCAAAGCGCCATACTTGTTTTCCTCAGGGCTTGTCTCTTTTTTCCTGAGGTGTTGGTTACCGGGAAAGAAAAGGGGGCGAATTCGCTCCCACAACTTTCACAGCCGCCCCTGAGGGGAAGCGGTCAGCCTGGGTCTGGGACCCCTTTCCCCGGAGCAGCCCCGTGCAGCAGGGGAAGGCGGTGCGGGCGGAGCTGGAATCTGCCATGACGACGCGGCGAGCCGGGCGCAGCCGCTGGGAGCTCAGCCCCACCAAGCCGCGGCCGCCGGCGGGGCTGCGGGGCTCCGCGGCCGAGGCGGAGGCGGCCTCCCCGCCGGTCCTGTCCCTCAGCCACTTCTGCAGGTCCCCTTTCCTCTGCTTCGGAGACGTCCGCCTGGGGACCTCGCGGGCCCTGCCGCTGGCCCTGGACAACCCGAACGAGGAGGTGGCCGAGGTGAGGATCTCCCGCCTCCCCGCCGCGGACCTGGGCTTCAGCGTGTCGCCGCGCCGCTTCGTGCTGCAGGTGGGTCTCGGCGGGGGCGGCCGGGCCGACGCTCCCCTCTCCTCTCTCTTTCCCTCGCCCTCCTCTGAGGATGAGACTCAGAAAAGAAACCAGAAGAGACCCCTAGAGAATAGCGGCGATTCCCGTTCAATCAGTAACTGCGCGGCCCTGACCCGCACGTTCGCGTTCTCTGCAGGCCGGGCGGCAGCCGCCTGGGCGGGGACAGCGCGTCCACTCGCGCACCTGCAGCGTGTTCGGAAGCGTTCTTGGTAGACTTCTCTGTTAAACTGACAAGCATTTTTGATAGACTTCAGGCGTTGTGAAATACTCCTGCAGTCCTAAATTAATAGATGGCACTTTTGAAAAACATCTTTTAAAAAGTTGACAGGAGCCCATTGGTTGCCCAGAGCAGCTTTTTTTGATTGCTTCCTACCAGCCACCTTAATATGCATTTTAGTTTCCGTGCGTATCCGTAGAGTCAAGGTAACTACTTTTTCTGGTGAAACTGTGAGCTCTGTTTTGGCTAAACGTCTGCAGCAGAACCCCCAAAACCTGCTCAGAGCTGTTTTCCATATGCATGGGTAGTGCGTATGCACACGTCAGTGTCCTTTTTTTCCTTTGCTGTCAGTGTCGTTTTAATGGTGCATCAAATTTAATTTCATAAATGTTTCAAGAACCTCTCCCAAAGCTTTTACTGGCTTGCGTTGGCCGGAGTAGAGCGGATCCCCAGCGTGAAAAACCGGAGAATGTATGTTCTTGTTTCGGCTGCTGTGGGCTTTTCCTGGAGTAGAGCCCCTGAAAGTGAGAAAGCCATGAGCTGAGGGCTCTGAGCTGGTCTGCGAATAGCCGCCAGGCAGCGACCCGAGTTCCCTCCACTGTGTGTCGCCAGAGGTTCTTCTGGACTTCAGAACCGCCTGCCCCGCCCCTCTGCTTCACGAATCCCTGCCTGCTTTTTTCCCTTCGGAAAGATAGATTTCTTTCCTATTTGCAGAATACTCTAACTTACTCCTTTTGTTACAATGTGAAACTACATTGTGTTTTTAGAATGGATTCTGTTTTCTAGAGTAAAAATTCACTGTTTTTATTTTTTAAAACCAGCTGTTTATGATGTCATAGGGTTTCTCCTTTAAAACAGAACTTGTTTCCCCTGAAAAATGACAGTTTGTTTAGTGATGTCAGGGTTTTGCATTTGGCGGATTCTATCATCCTGCCAGGGTTTAGGGTGTAGATGTTAAAGTCTGAACTCCGATCAGACTGGCTGGGTTCTAATAACTGGCTGTCTGGCTTGGGCAAAGCTTTCTGGACGTCAGTTACTTCATCTGTAAAATGTGCATAATTGTAGTGCCTGCTTCCTGGGGCTGTGAGCGTTTAAATGAGCGTTTATCTGTACCTGCACCTGTGCCCGGAACGCAGTAACTGTTTAACAGATGTCTGTATGATGGTGTGGACTTCGGAGAAGTTTGTGGGGAAGGAGGAATTTAATTGACCACCTTTATATTTCTTTTTAAATAAAGTCTTCATAATAAAAGATCATTATGTTTGAAAAAGAAATACCGTACATATTTAGGAAGTAGAAATATACAATTGAATTTTTTAAAACCTCTCAAAATGATTTGGAGACTATCTGTCCCGTTGCTTTCATACAATTAAGATTTTATTATAATTTTATTTTCTTGTGAACCCTGTTATTACTAGTGACTTTTTTTTCTTATAATGAAATAAGCAGATAGGGTAGGAAAAATATATTTGATTTGTTAAATGTTTAGGGAATAAAGTATTGGTGACTAACAATTATTCTGTACTATATTCTAAGATGTATAATGTGTTTTGATTATTATATTATTACTATTATAATTATTTAAGATTTATTCTTTTGATTATAGCCTAAAGAAAAAATTGTTATTTCTGTTAACTGGATACCATTCAAAGAAGGCCGAGTAAGAGAGATTATGACATTTCTTGTAAATGATGTTCTGAAACACCAAGCTATATTACTAGGAAATGCAGAAGAGCAGAAAAAGAAAAAGGTAATGTTTTAACCATCCTGTGATTTAACCTAAGAAAATGTTTAATAATGTATAAAAATTATTTTGATAACAGACTTGAAGTAACATAATATTATGTATTTAAAGGTAATATTCAATAGCTATCAACTTAATTGTTATATTTTGCTTATTTTTGCAGAGAAGTCTTTGGGATACCATTAAAAAGAAGAAAATTTCAGCCTCTTCAAGTCATAACACAAGGGTTTCAAATATTCAAAATGTTAATAAAACATTTAGTGTTTCCCCAAAAGTTGACAGAGTTAGGAGCCCACTACAAGCTTGTGAAAATTTGTCTATAAATGAAGGCTGTTCCTCAACAGAAAACAATTCTTTAACACTTGAAGAAAATAAATTACCTATATCACCTATTAGCCCCACTTTCAAAGAATGCCATGGTGACACTTGCTTGCCCCTTGTTATACGCCGATCTACTACCTACTCATCTATTCACATTCCTGAAAATGGAGAATTATTGAAAGAGGAAGGTGCCAACATTTCAAAAGATTTTTCTTTTAATGAGAAAGTCATAACTAAAACTTCCTTTAATTCTATAAATATTAATGGCCAAAGTGAAGAGAATAGTAAACTTATTCTTACCCCAAATTACTCTTCAACTTTAAACATTACACAAAGCCAAGGAAATTTTCTAAGTCCAGATTCTTTTGTCAATAATAGCCATGCAGCTAATACTGAACTAGAGATATCAGATACGTTCATGAAAGATAACTCGAAGCCTGTGCATTTGGAATCAAAAACGGTACATGAAATTTATCGGACAATTTTAAGTCCAGATTCTTTCGTAAATGATAATTATGGACTAAATCAGGATCTACAGTCAGAGTCAATTAATCCCATTTTATCCCCAAATCAATTTGTAAAAGATAACATGGCATATGTGTGTACATCTCAGCAAACATGTAAATTATCACCATTATCAAATGAAAATTCTAAGGTCCTACAATCTCAAGATTCAAGGAAAAGTGAAGTTTTACCGTGTATTCCTGAATGTCAGGATTCAAACTCTCCCAAAGCTATTTTTGAAGAACTTGTAGAAAAGAAGTCAAATCACTACAATTTTACAAAACAAAATCATCCTAAATTTTCTGCAGTTCAAGATATTTCTGGTCAGAGCCATGATAAACAACCTAAGAGACGCCCAATACTTTCTGCTACTGTTACTAAAAGGAAGCCCACCCATGCCAGAGAAAACCAAACTGAGATTAATAAACCAAAAGCAAAAAGAAGTCTCGACAGTGCAGTAGGTGAATGTGAAAAACTAATAAATAATCAAGAAGAGAAAGAAGCTTTTCATTCTTATCTTCCAATTATAGGTCCAGTATTAAGTAAACCTAAGAATTATAAAAATGAAATAACTCCCTCTTTGACGACAGCATCAGTTGCTCGTAAAAGAAAGAGTGATGGAAGCATGGAAGAAACAAATGTGAGAGTTCCAGTCACAGAGCATATGGAGGTGCGAGAGATCAAAAGAATCCATTTTTCTCCCTCTGAGTCTAAAACATCAACTGCTAAAAAACCAAAAAAGGTGAAAACACCCATCTCAAAATGTATTAGCAGCAGAGAGAAATTAAACCTGAAGAAGAAAACTGGTAAGTCTTGTTTATAAAATCTCCCGAAAGTACACTTATAAAGGATGTATTTTCTGTTTCTTTGGTTTAACTTGTACTTTTTATTTACTAATTTGCTTGGTGGAAAATGGGGCAAATGCAGTGTGGGGCTGAATTCTGAGATAGTTGCAATCCTGCCCTTATTTAAGCTTTTGATATTTTATTCAACATGAATTTTCTGCATTAATTTTGATTTTAAAAAATAGTTGCATTTAAATATTTATCCTAATTATTGAGTTTTTTGACGCCCCTCTTAAGTTATACACCCAAAGGAAGTACAGTACTGCATTTGGCCTCACTGTAGTCCAGGCCCTGATTGGAAGGCCCAGTGAAATGCCCGACCACCCGCCACCCCCACCCAACGCCATCAGAAGGAATATGGAATAGACCTTTGCATATTCTGTGCTCCTGGTGAGGTTATTTTCCCTCAGCCTCTCCCCAGTCATAAACTAGGAATGCAGGCAGGGCCGCAGAGCTCTGCATTCCTTTGGGACAAACCTCGTTGTTCCTTCCCTAGTACTCACAGCTTCACCATCACCATTTGCCTCAAAATAGGACTAATTCCAACATGCCCTTTTAACCCAAATTACCTCATTTGATATTCAAGATCCAGGCAGGAAAACCACACTAGTTATTTTACCAGAATTTAAACGAATCCTGGGACTCTTCGGAAATGCACCACACATCTCATTTCTCTTTGAACACCCCTCAATTTGAACCATTTCTTACATCCCTCCAGCTCTTTAAACCCTTCTGTGTACCCTCTGGACTCACTGGCCTTCATCAGCACCTGTGCTTTCCAAACACTCCTTCACTTTGTTACCCTGCTAAACCTGGCTCTCCCCTGAGAGCACTGCTTTCATTGCAACCCTCTCAAGTTTGTTGTATGTGTTTTCTCTCCTACTCTTATCACCTTATGACTCCTGGTGGGATCTTCTTATATCTACTTCTTGTTTTTCATATCAATTTCCAAGCTATCATTTCTCCTTTCTTAAAAACAAGAAGAAAACAACAAAACAGCTTGAAGCTTATTTTTCAGACTATCCTGCCAATGTCCTTCCTTGTTACAGTAGAAGAGTATTCTCTTGAGAGTAGACCTTCTCCAAAACTACTACTATTATGATTTCAAAATCCCTGTAGAAATCCTTCCAATATTCTGAAGTTTTGGTTCCAAGCTACTTAGGCCGTCTTCTAAAAGCATCTCAATCTCCAATCACCAAACTATGATTTCAGCATTTCCCATAGAAGCCCAACTTCAACATTTTCTTAAGCCCTTCCAACACCTACAGTTCTTTAATCCACCACTGTTTCCACAGCCCTCACCTCTGATATGTTCATTCATTCCTTAACTATACTTGGGTTCATCACAATCACTTCATTTACCCTCTTGCTCTTCACTGTACTTGCCCAGCAACTTCCAACCCCTATCCAATCTCGCTGTGCCTACCCTCATGCCTGAAACTTGCTGGTTGGTCTTCATAACCACTAGCCCCAAGTAAGCCCTTAACTCTTTTTTGGCTATATTTTCCGGGTTTATTGACTTTATTGTTTTGCTATAGGCTAGCTCATGCTTTCCCTCTTCTCCCGAACCCTCTTTTTCCTCCTTTCATAAATTAAGCAAAGAAGGCTTCCTAAAAAATAAAATAGGCCAGGTGCGGTGGCTCACACCTGTAATCCTAGCTCTCTGGGAGGCCGAGGTGGGCGGATTGTTTGAGCTCAGGAGTTCGAAACCAGCCTGAGCAAGAGTGAGACCCCGTCTCTACTAAAAATAGAAAGAAATTAATTGGACAACTAAAAATATATAGAAACAACTAGCCGGGCATGGTGGTGCATGCCTGTAGTCCCAGCTACTCGGGAGGCTGAGGCAGGAGGATGGCTTGAGCCCAGGAGTTTGAGGTTGCTGTGAGCTAGGATGACGCCACGGCACTCTAGCCCGGGCAACACAGTGAGACTCTGTCTCAAAAAAAATAAAAAATAAAAAAAAATAAAATGATTCTAGGCAGAGGAACCGCTTCTACAAGGTTTCAGAGGGACTAGGCGCTAGGTTTCAGAATGAGGAATTTCTCCTGAGAAATTTATTTTTAAAATGTTCAAATTAATCTAATATTATGTTGCAATTTAGTCATGTTCCTTCTTTTCACAATTGGCATAGATTTGAGATCCCTCTAAAACAAGGGTAAATAAACTCTAATGGTCCAGATAATAAATATTTCAGGCTCTGCAGGCCATATGTCTACTGCAACCACTCTGCCACTGCAGTGGGGAAGCAGCCAGGACACTGTGCAAATCAATGAGTATCACTATGCTCCAGTAAAATTTTATTCATGAACACTGAAATTTGAATTTCGTGTAATTTTTGTGTGTCATGAAATGTTATTCTTTTAATTTTATTTCAACTATTTAAAAATGTAAAAACTATATTTAGCTCTTGGACTATACAAAAATAGTCAGCAGGATTTTGCATGTGGACCATAGTTTGCTTACCTCTTATGAAGTCTTTGCTTATATGTAGTAGCAGTGTATTCTGGTGTGAAACCTGCTTTTGAGAGCGTGAACTGCTATTCCCATAGGTTATTTGCTGCCATGACTTTTATTGCACTTTCTTTCGTGACACTCAGCATTGTATGAGGCGCCTGGGCCTTGGGAGTCCCCCTGATCTCACTCCTCATCACTTTCCTAGTTAGTTGGTATTAAGGCTTATTGCTTCCACTAGTAAATTAACTCTCCTCTAATTTGTCCCCACTGCCTCTGTTTTAATTTGTCCCACCATATCTAACTGGAGTCTTCGTAATAACTGCCTTATAATTTTCTGTCTCTAATCTTAACCTCATTCATTCCATTGTCCATATTGTTTTCTGAAATATAAATGAGGGCATTACCTCCTTGATTAAAAATTCTTCACTGGCATAGTATGTGCTTCAAAGGGATTAATAGTGCAGGCTACAGAACTATACTGTCCAGGCTCAGATCCCTGCTACTTACTAATGTGTGTGATCTCGACCACATGGCTTAATTGCTCTCAACCCCAATAACCTAATTATATAAATTGTCGGTAGTAATACTACATTTCTCATAGATTTGTTGTGATAATTATGTAAGTAAAAGACTGTGATAGCACCTGGCACAGAGTATTTAAATATTAGCAGCCACTATTATTTTTAATATTGTTGAACTCTTCCCAACCTCTTGTACGCAATTTCTCACGAGTATTCTTTGCACCATCCTCATTTCGGTTCTGTCAATAGACCATATTCCTCAGGCCTAATTTTCATTTCATGAGTTAGCTCAAGTGGATTCCCACCTGGGAAGACTCTTCTACCCTTTTGAAACTTCTTTCCTAGTAGACTGAGAATGACGTAAGGGCTGGGACCTTATCTTTCAAATCTACACATTCTCAGCTAGGTAGAGTCTAGAATAAATGCACACAATAAATTGTAGTTGAATCTAGACTTTAGCTTCTATAGACACAAAATAGATTGTGGTTTATGGTCTGTAACTTCCAGGAGTTGGTTTTGTAGATCACTGAGTTCATAGCACTAGTGCCTGGAGCACAGTAGTTATTAAGTATTTGCTAAATGAATATGATTTTGAGGAACCCAAACTTTATCTTTCAAATCAGCTACCTATTCAGGGACTTTATTTTATTTTTTTAATGCTATCATTGTTTTCTAATTTATTTTAGATTCATTCGTATTCAAAACTCCTCTATCTAAAACAAACAAAAGGACAAAACCCATTGTTGCTGTGGCACAGTCCAATTTGACCTTCATAAAACCATTAAAAACAGGTAAGTGTTTATTATGTTTAAACTCTCAAAGGGACATGGAATGAAGTATTAATTGCATTTCAAATGGAAATGAGTTGTTTTTTTGTTGTTGAATAAAAGCCTGGCAGAATTGTTAAAGTGTGTGATCAAATTACAATTAAGATATTCTATCAACTTCTGTTTGATATGAGAAATAAGACCTAGTATTTAATAGATCAGTAGAGTGACTATAGTTTACAGTAATGTATTATACATTTCAAAATAGCTAGAAGAGAATAATTTGAATGTTTCTAGCATAAAGAAAAGACAAATATTTAAGGTTATGAATATACCAAGTACATGATCTAATCTGTATAAGTTATATGAATTATATGTATCCCAAAAATATGTAAATCTGTTATGTATCAATTTAAAAAAGGTATTATATCGGCCTTTAATGAAATTGACTCATGGTGGTTTAGGATTTTTAAATAACCAAGAAGTATTGCTTTGTTTCTCCCCCTTTTGCTTTGATTGCATTTCATACTCAAAATGCTTTCAACTCTTTCCTGCCCATAATGGAAAAGCAAATATTGTTCAGTCTTTTAAAAATGGTTTTACTAGTAAATATGGCCTTATGTTCTATATTATATAATAATTTAAAGGAAATTTTCTTATGCAATAACCTAATTGTATTCTTAGATATTCCTAGACACCCAATGCCATTTGCTGCAAAAAACATGTTCTATGATGAACGCTGGAAAGAAAAGCAGGAACAAGGATTCACTTGGTGGCTAAATTTTATATTAACTCCTGATGACTTCACTGTAAAAACAAATATTTCTGAAGGTAAACATTAAATGTTGAAATTTCATAATTCTCTTATTTTAAAAGACCAAATTTTTAACATGATTTGTCACTAATTATACATACTTTATTTATTATATAGTAGATAATGGTATGTTTCACTGGTGCATTGGCCTAAATACTAAAGGTTGTGTAGTTAAGAATTTTTACCTACATAGATTTACATACATAAATTTTCTGTACCAAAAGTACTGAAATGTACTTTTTGTTCCTTATTTTCTCTCATCAGCCAATGCATCAGTCCTGTGTGGTTTGCCCATTTGGGGTTTATTGTCTCAGTTTAAGAAGTATGTGGGAAAGCTATAGGATTATGAGCAATCTGAAAACCAATTCATATGAGGAATTTTTAGAACTTCAAACATTTAAAAGTTTTTCTTCTAAAAAAGAAGAACTTTTGTGAGGTCTTGCACATAGGTTATAGGGATTAATTTCAGCTCAAGATAAGAAAAAATTCTAATAAACATTTAATCTGTCAAACCATCACATAAGCTATCTTTTAAAGTGGTTGTTTTTCCATTGTTGCAGTGTTCAAACAGATACTGGTTTGTATTTGTCAGAGAAGCATGTATAGAATTTCTACATTGGTCTACATTTGGATTAGATGATCTCTAACATCATTTTTATTTTTCTCAGAAGGAAGCAAAGCCCAATTTTTAGGTCTTTTCTTAAGAGAAAATGTGTTTTATAAAAAATCGAATTACATTTCAAAATTGTTTTTTAAAAATCACATTCCTTAGAAGCTTGACTTAGTAATTTATAAAGAGGTGGAAACAGAAACCAGTTAGAAGGTTATTTCATTAGTCTGGGTTGGAGATGATAATATTTGAACTTGCGTGATGGTGGAGGTGGTAAGTAGTTAGAATTAGGATACATTTTACAGGTGGAGATAACAGGTTGCAATGACAGATTGGCCTAAGATACTTAGTGAACCACAATGCCTTTATTTTGAGATAACAAAGACTAGGAGGAGTAAGCCTGGAGCAGGGGAGCGATGGATTGTTTTCACTGTCTTAAGTTGCATTTTATTGCTGGATTTAAGACTATATAGAGACATTGTTTAACCAGAAACATTCTTCCTTTTGTTTTTATCCAGTAAATGCTGCTACTCTTCTTTTGGGAGTGGAGAATCAACATAAAATAAGTGTTCCCAAAGCACCTACAAAAGAGGAAATGTCTCTCAGAGCTTACACTGCTCGGTGCAGGTTGAATCGATTACGTCGCACAGCATGCAGTTTGTTTACTTCTGAAAAAATGGTTAAAGCTATTAAGAAACTTGAAATTGAAATTGAAGCTAGGCGGTTAATTGTTAGAAAAGATAGACACCTCTGGAAAGACGTGGGTAAGAAGATTGTAGAAATTTTGAGGTTAACTCTTTAAAAACACGCTAGAGATTTTGTATTTCTTTTTGTTTCCAGCCTTATTGAGGTATAATTGATAAATAAAAATTGTCTATTTTTAAGGCGTACGACATGATGTTGACGTGTGCATACGTTGTGAAATGGTAATCACAATCAAGTACACACCCATCTCCTTAGAGTCACCTTTTTTTTTTTTTTTTACTGTGTTTGGTGAAAACATTTAAGATGTACTCTCTTAGCAAACTTCAAGCATACAATACACTATTATTAACTGTAGTCATCATACTATACATCAGCTCTGCAGAATTTATTTGTCCTACGTAACTGAAACTATACCCTTTGACCCATCTATCTCCAGTCTCCCTAAATCCCATCCCCTATCGACCACCATTCTCTCTGCTTCTATGAGTTTGACTTTCTTAGATTTCACATATAAGTGAGATCCTACAGTGCTTGTCTTTCTGTGCCTAGTTTATTTCACTCTGCATAATATCCTCCAGGTTCATCTATATTGCCACAAATGACAGAATTTCCTTTATTTACTGCATTTTCTTTATCTATACATTTGTTGATAGACACTTAGGTTGACTCCTTGTCTTAGATATTATGAATAATGCTGAAATGAATGTGAGAATGCAGATATTTGTTCTAGATACTGATTTCATTTCCCTTGTATATACACCCAAGAGATTTTGTATCTCAAAGCTAAATATACATGCTTTTAGCTTTGCTGCCTAAAATCTCACATACTTAAATATGATCACATGTATTTAAGAATAGGAGTATATGCTTCATTTAAAGTATTTCATATAAGCAATTATCCTTTTTTGCACTGGTATAGTCTCCATAACCTTGTATTTATTGTCTCTATTTGATTAGCAGTTTAAGCTTACTTTTGACATGCATTTTAGGAGAACGCCAGAAAGTCCTGAACTGGCTATTGTCATATAATCCTTTGTGGCTTCGAATTGGCCTAGAGGTAAGCATGCGTTTCACGTTTTGAAAATAACATTTTTTTGTGATATACTTTTAATAGAATAGACTCATTAATAAAATGGGTTCTACTTATAAAGGTTATAAAGTCATTATTTTAGCTTGATTCATTTTTCAGTATAAAATGTAGGTCCGTTAGTAAATGCTCATTAGGTAAATAGGCCATGCTATTATATATCGTTGCCTTATTGTTAAATATCAATTTATTGCATAGTCTCCTAAATATATATAATTTGGTGCTGGGTGTAATGACAACTATAATAAGCTTATTTTTGAACATTTACAAATGAAAACACTAGGCTGTTTTAAATACATTTTCTAATTTAATCCTCTTTAAAACCCAGTGAGGTTATGTATTATTATTTCTACTTCACCAACAAAAATGAAGCTTAAATGTTAAGTGACTTGCCATAGGTCAATAATTGGTCAGAATTTGGACCTATATCAGTCTGATGCCAAAGCCCAACCTTGTAAACCATTTTGACAGAGTACTACTCATAAAAATGTCATCAGGATTTGAGTTATTTACATAGTACCTGGCTTAATAATATCTAGAATGTTAAAACTAACAGAATTAGAAAGCTACTACTAGTAGTTAGTTGGCTGTTAAAAATAAGCTTTTATTAAAAAAAAAAATGCCCTCTGTGCTTTCCTTTCCTTTGGTCTTTCACTAGTATGCTTTTACATTTTTTCTAGGTTTTTTTACCTTCCTAATGTGGGATTTCCAATTATTATTTCAATTTATTCCAAGTTTTAGAATAGAAGAGTCTTTGGGGTTGAAAGGGATATTTGCAATAATCTGGTTTGTATGTACCAACAAACTGAGGCTCAGAGACAACAAATAATAAGCTTACTATGGTCACACAGCTTAACAGTATCATTTCATGTTCCAGTTTTGGTGTGCTTTCTCTTCTTGTAGTCAGCAAATAACATATCAACTGGCTCTGCTTCACCTGTCAAGTAATTCTGGAACCTCCGTTGAACTAGAGCCTCCATATCTTGAGACATGGCTTTTTTGTGGTGAAAGTTAAAAGCAAGAGTGTTAGGTAGAAACTTGCAGTGCCTTTTAAAATTTAGATGTAGTACGCATCACCTCCACCCATATTCCGTTGGCCGAAGCATATTGTCTGGCCAAGCACAAACAAGGAAACTAGGCAAGAATATATTAACCTCCCATAAGAGTTACAGCAAGTCTATGGTATATAGTATGGATGCATACATTTTTTTTTGCAAGGAATGGAGGGGTGAATAATTGTCAACAATAAAACATTCTACCTCACCACCACACCTTAGGATTCTGTAAATGGACCTTTGAGAATTTTAAGAAAGCTTCAAAGGCCAAAAAAAGGTAAATAAAGATGGATTTCTCTATTTTGGTAGGTATTAATACTTTTCTATACTGTCATTGCTATATTCAATGTAAGGTTGCAGAATATAATTTGATATGTTTTTAGTTTTTTCTAATTGCTTTAAAAATTAATAATCATGTCGATGTTAAACTAATTTTATATTTAAGTCGTTGGTTATAAACAGATCCGAACTTCCCAAATTATTACCTTAGATGGTTTGCAGATGGTTTTCTACCTGTTAACCATTAGAAAATTTTGAATATTTCGATTTCTGTCATATCTTCATGATATACTTAATGGGACAGTTATAAGTAAATTTAAAAAACATGGCTATATTTGATAGTTCTTTAACTTAAATGAAAAAATTAACATGGAAATATGCTTGTCAGATGATTAAGAATTTATCTTAGTGCTGAGATTTGTCTTTTTTCATTATGAAGGATACTATGTATGCTGATAAGTGCATAAAGCATATATGTACAGTTTAAAGAGATTATTTAGCAAATAACCCTATCACTCCCATGCTATTTAGGAAATGGAACATGGCCAGTTACTGAGAAGGTCATTGTCTGCCCTTCCCCAATCACATCCTTTTGTTCTTAGACATAGCATGATCCTGACTTTGGCTTTAATTTCTTCTTTTTAGACAATTTATGGGGAACTCATATCTTTGGAAGATAACAGTGATGTCACAGGGTTGGCTATGTTTATTCTGAATCGCTTACTTTGGAATCCTGTTATAGCAGCTGAGTATAGACACCCCACTGTTCCTCATCTCTATAGAGACGGTAAGTATTTCCGCCTCTGCTGCGTGCTCTCCACACTATACATAAATGGCTTCTTGTCATTCATCTGATTTCTACTTGCATTTTGCTTTCTCAAAAAACCCAATCTAGATAGGTCTCTATTTCCACTACTATCCCTTCCCTTCTCTACCCTCATTATTCCCCATCATTTCCTTCATCACTATTTATAATTATTCTTTCCTGTTAGCTGTCTCTACCTCTCCCCTGGTTGTCCTGCGGGGATCATATTTATTACTGTACATCTGCCACCTAGGAAGGTCCTGCATACAGTAGGTGTTCATTAAATGTTTTTTGAGTGAGACCAACTAAATCTCTTGATGCCTCTGTGCCTGTTTCCTCACCTACGAATTGGAAATATTAAACGGTACCTGTCCCGCAGAGTTATTGTGAAGATTAAATGGATTCATACATGTAAAGCACTGAGAAAAGCACATCAGATTTTATTTGTGCTTCCACATTTCTTTTTCAACTAGCACATTATTATTATTGTCACATTTTAAGGTGAAACCTGTCTTTGACAGGTTAACTTGTTATACTTTTCACTTTATTTAAGGTCATGAAGAAGCTTTGTCCAAGTTTACATTGAAAAAGTTACTGTTGTTGGTCTGTTTCCTTGATTATGCTAAAATTTCCAGACTTATTGATCATGATCCTTGCCTCTTTTGTAAAGATGCTGAATTCAAGGTATAGTTTTCATTTTATGCTTTATATTTCATATTTCCCGTTTAAGAATTTTGCTTGCTTTTATGATATATTTTCATTTTAGAAAAAAATATTAGTTTCCAAAAAACAACACTCTGGAGTAGAACAGGGATGCCTATCTAGTAGTGAGTCCCATCAGTAATTTTAACTGTGCCTGATTTTTGTGGGTTTACCCTTCAGCAGCACATCGTCCTTACTCTCAATGCTGACTTGAGAATGAATAAACTAGTCTTCTGAGGAATTAATTTTAAGGGAAATTTCTTTCCTAATTTTGATGTAGTATATTATCAAATTAATGCCAGTTTTTGTAGTTATGAGCAATTTTTAACAAGGTCTTACATTGGAAATGTATGAAAGTTGCATTATTACTGTATGGTATGAAACTGACAATTTTTTAATACTGCTATTAACTTTTTTTATGTACAAAATGATTTGAAGGATTTTTTATTATATCCAAAATTATAATATTAGAATATAATACCTGCAACTTGTTTCTTTATAGGCTAGTAAAGAAATTCTTCTGGCTTTTTCACGAGATTTCCTAAGTGGTGAAGGTGACCTTTCCCGTCACCTTAGCTTATTGGGATTACCTGTTAACCATGTTCAGACACCATTTGATGAATTTGATTTTGCTGTTACAAATCTTGCTGTAGACTTACAGTGTGGAGTGCGTCTAGTGTAAGTATAAAAAATAGAATTATTTTGCTTAATGGAATGGACTAAAATTTTCTGGAAAACACCTTTTTTTTTGTAATTATACAATCTTTCTTATTCTTTCATGAAGTAGAATATATTTAGGGTTAAAAAAATTGGAATTTCTTTTTCAGAAAAATGGTATGTCAATTTTATGCCCAGAAACCTTGTCTCCTATCCACACTTTTTTTCCTGCTGGTGTGTGACTACGATCTGGATAGGAACTACTGATGTCTCAGAATAGAAGCTGAGAAGAGCTGTAAACTAATTAAAATTATCAAACATTTATAATAACACTTTATGTTGACAGTGGTTTCTTGAGTTCCATATCATTCGAAACAGTTTTTAATAGTATTGACCTTGTTTTACATATGAGGAAAATAAGATGAAGTGGTAGAATAGATTGCCCAAGTTTTATACATTGGAATTGGGATGTAAACTCGTGAAGTCTGACTTCATATTATACAGTATTTCCTCAATAACAAACTGAAGTGCTGAAAATCAGCTTTGGTATGAGTAACGAGGTGCCAGTTTTTGCTTTGAAAGGAATGGCCTTTAGCACGTTACTGTGGTTGGCCTCTTTAGGATATCTGGATATACTCATTTTGTTTCTAAGGAACTCTCCAATATATGGTATATCCTTATCAGGGAAACACTTTTGGAGTCAAGGAAAGAGATTTCTTTGAAGCAAAGATAAGGTTTTTCTCTGTATATTTAAGAAGTTGTTGAGCCTCAAAACAGCCAGTTAAATTGAAATATGGGAAGCCCAAAATTAGCGGCCCTAATAAAATGTCTCTGCTACAGTAAAGCTTACTGAACTCTTTACCTGGCCCTGGTACATTCTTGTCAGATTTTAAATTGTTTGTGTGATAGCCAGAATATCATAGCAATCTTCATGCTAAAATTCATGCTAAAAACTTACCTGAACAGGAAAGAAGTTATTTGGATGTGCTTATTAATTTCTTTGTTTTGACAAGAGATATCTTTAGGGTGCAAACTAAAAACCTTATCCCTGTGTCGTGGATACCAGTTAGGGAACTATGAATATTTAAAGAAATATGATAGAAGAGAAAATTCTGTGACAGAGATGTCTTCAGATATTTGAACAGCTAACTTATGTTAAAAGGCAATTAAGTTTATTAATTACCAAGCAAAATAGCTGTGTATGAACAATGAATGTTTCAAAATGATGAGTATTGGTTTGATATAAAAACTTGCTAATAATCAGACACATCTTTAGGAAGAAACCAGTTCACAGTGTTGGAAGTTTCAAGCAGAGGTCAGAGGACCGCTTGGCCAAAATGGAAGAATTCTTTAACATTTACAAGGAAGAGATCCGTAGGGTTTTATGAATCTCCAGTTTTTCCAAAAACAACATAAATGTCACTTGCTTCCTTCTAAGTTAAATTTCTGTGAACATTCTTTTTTCTTGATCCACTATACTTACAAGTTAACAGTCTTTTGAACATTACTACAGCTTTCTCTCACTTGAGCAGTTTCTTTACAGGCTAAGATCATTTGCTGAAAATATTTCACATATTATTTTTATATTTGATTAATTTGTTCGTTTCATAAATTCAAGCCACCACATCTATTTTCTGGCCAATAGGAATTCATCTTTTAAGACTTTTTCCTCTTTCCAGAAGTAGAGACTGGTTTAATGTTTAGTGCCATTTTTCCACCAAGAAAGACTTTTTTTTTTATGCTTTTACAAGAGTTGCTGAGGACTTAGCATTGTTAGATGTTGTTGTTATGTAGTTGGTTAGGAATTCTCAATAGTTAAGAGATCGATCTCACATACCAAATTCCTGTTTTGTTCAGTGTCAGCAAAATGACTGTTTTATAGATCTTTGAGGTCATTTTGGAATACCCGGGGGTGGTTACTCTCTCTACTAATGCTGACAGTGATGAGTTGGTTATACTGTTGCAGAAACATATCTGACATTGATTGTGTGGTTGGCCTAGAATGATCTTAAGTCTCTCTTTAACCTCTAAAAGTATGGTTCCATAAATGTTATTATTTCTGCCAGCTTTTAATTATATACGATAATCAGTTAGGGCTTGCTTTTTCTGGGAAAGTATCAACTATTGTCTAGTGGATAAAACACTAGTAACCTAAATGGTATTAGGGGTTTGAATTCTAATTCTGGTATACATATCTTTTTTAGGTAAGCATTCAAATATTTTTATAGTAATCTGCTGTGTGTGTGTATATATACACATACACACAAGAATGCCTGTGGAAATCGATAGAATTGAATTTTAATTCTCTTATTCTGTCATTATTAGCAGTATGAACATGGGCAATTTACTCAACTTCTCTGAGACTTGGATTCTTCATGTGTAAAAAATGGACTAACAATACCAGATTGTGGGATTTACTATGATGACTAAAATTAAAAAAAGAAAGCACTTGTTTGATGTGTAGAATATAGTACATCTCAGTAAATGTTTCTCCTCTCTACTCCTCACTCCTCTCCTTTCTCTCCTTTCTTTTCCTTTTACCTTTGTAGAACCCTATATTTTGTGTGCATCTGTGTGTGTATGTCTCGTTTTTTCTTTCTTAGCATCTTGGACTTCAACCCCCAGACTTAAAATGAGAATAACTCTACTTGCTGACTTTGGAGGAATAGAGTTTTGAGATAGTTTTTTGGAGTTCTTCTGACCTTAAAGCCCTTGAACTCTTGGGATTTATGTGGGTAATAAATATATATAAATGCAGGTTATTTTTCATGTATGTTTTTATATAGCAATTTTATCTGAAAATTTCTTTACTGCTAGGCGAACCATGGAACTTCTCACACAGAACTGGACTCTGTCAAAGAAACTCAGAATTCCTGCAATCAGTCGTCTTCAAAAGATGCACAATGTTGACATTGTTCTTCAGATTCTTAAATCACGAGGAATTCAATTAAGTGATGAGCTTGGTAAATAACTCAGTAGAGATAAAACTTATTCTCCTCACTGAATATTGATATGTGCATATATTATGCTAATGGGCTACCTTTTCGTTTGTAGGAAATACAATTCTACCTAAGGATATTGTGGATAGGCACAGAGAAAAAACTCTCGGATTGCTTTGGAAAATAGCATTTGCTTTTCAGGTATTATACATTCGGTACATTTTGCACTTTTTGTCAATTTTGAATACTGATTTATAAAAGCAATTTGAATCAAATGAAGACTGCCAATAATACTATCATTTATTGGGGCTTATTCTATCCCAAGGGCTGTGATAATTGGTTTATACATATTCCAATTTAGTCTTCACCACACATCTACAAAGTAGGTGTTAAGTCTCCCTCACAGATGAGGAAATGGAAACTGATGTTTATGTCACTGGTGAGTGGTGGAGCTGAGATAGAACCCAGACTGATGTGGCTCCAAATCCCATGTCCTTAACCACTAAACATTCTGTCACTTTTATGTAGTTTGTGTTTGCCCTTTAGAAAAAAAATACGGATTGTTTTGGGGCTAAAATGTCCATTTTAGGCATTTTATTTTCTTAGAATTTTAAAATTTCTAATTAGATTATTTTATTTACTCTTTTATAGTTTCTCTAAATAGAAGATACTTTTATTACTATGGGTTAAAAATAATACATAAGAAATAAAAAGGTATTTACCATTTTTGTGTGTTTCAGGTGGATATTTTCCTTAATCTAGATCAATTAAAGGAAGAAATTGACTTTCTAAAACACACACAGAGTATAAAGAAAACAATGTCTGCCCTATCATGCCATTCTGATGTTGTTATTAATAAGAAAAAAGACAAAAGGACTAGTGGTTCCTTTGAGCAATATAGTGAAAACATAAAGTTATTGATGGATTGGGTAAATGCTGTTTGTGCCTTCTATAACAAAAAGGTAAGTTTCTTTGTTTTTGTTTTAACCTAATATCTTTAAATAAATTTTGATGAAAGTCAATTAAAATATAAAATCTTTTCTTGCATCTCTAAAATAATTTAGTTTATATGTATATGCAAACTTTTCCTCAAAGGAGTAAATGTATTATCATATACTATATTTCATCTAATGTGTCACCAATTATACAATGCATGATAATTTTATTTATCACTAAGAAAGAAAAAATGCCCTAGATGGGAGACTTAATAGAAGATACTTTCATAGAACTGGGACGTAAAAGATCATACCCTTATTATAAAGGTCGGTGCAGATAAACCCAACATGCAGGAAGAGACAACTGAGAAATCACCGCTAGGTGGAAGAAGGAAGAAAACCAAAATCTAAGTTGTCTTTCTATAGCTCAATACTGCATTTCTGTATAAGGTATACTTCTAAGTATAAATACATGAAAAAATATTGCCCTAAACACCTGGATAAACTATCTGGTAATAAATACAAAACGGGACAATGATACAGAGTACATGTAACTAAATACGATAAACTGTTACACTTAAAGAAGTTGTTAGTAGAAAAATTCTTAAATATTTGGATAATTTTCTGTTTTAACTAAGTACTAGACAGCCAAAGTTGGTCATCATTATTCATGGATTTCATATTTGGCATTTGAATACTAGCTAAAATTTATTTATAATAATAAATGCCAAAATTAATACTTGCAGCATTTTGTGGTCCTTCATTGACCGGTGCAAATGCCTAGGTGCTTATTCCCAGGTGAGGTCGAACAAGGTCACACTCTGCCTTCTTGTTTCAGCTCTTATAGTGTAGACAGTGTCGTTTTTATGATCTACTTAGTGCTGTGGTATTGTGGGGTTTTTTGTTGTTTTGTTTGCATTATTGTGCTTTTTGTTTGTGATTTCCCTAGTTAAATGGCTCTTAAGCGTAGTACTGAAGTGTTGTCTAATGTTCCTATGACTGATATGCCATATGCAGAAAATATGTGTTAAATAAGCGTCATTCAGACATGAATTACAGCGCTTTTGGCTGCGGGTTTAATGTTACTGAATCAGAAACACACATAAAACAAGGTTATGCATGGATTGGTTGAAAATGAAAATGTGACCAGAGGCTCACAGGACCCTAACTCTGTATTTCCCCATGAATAATGGTTCAGTATTCATAAATTCAGTGTTTACAAATAACAAGAATCCACTGTAATTGTTATAGTTTCCTAAGACTGTCATAGCAAATTACTACAAACTAGGTGGTTTAAAATAGAAATTTAATATTCTTTTCAGGCTTGAAGTCTGAAATCCTGTTGTTGTCTGAGCCATGCTCTCTCTTAAGGTTCTAGAGGAGACTCTGTTCCATTCCCTTCTCTTAAGTTTTGGTGGTTGCCAGCCAACCTTGGTGTTCCTTCACTTGTAAATGTGCTATTCCAAACTTTCCCTTTGTTGTCACATGGTATTCTGTCTGTGTGTCTGTTTCTGTGTCTCTCCTCTAATAAGGACACCATTCCTACTGGATTAAGAACCCACTCTATTCCAGTGTGACCTCATCTTAATTTGTTAAATTTGTAATGACCCTATTGCCAAATAAGGTCACCATTCTGATTTTCCAGGAAGGACATGAAGTTTTAAGGGACACTTTGTAACCCAAAACAATAATATTATAATCAGATCCTACTTTTAGAATGGTTGTTAGTATTTTATAATTGAGAATTTGGCTATGCATATGGCATTATACTAGTTACTGTTAGTAATTAATGTGATATTCTTAGCTATTAAGAGAAAATAACAGACTACAAAACCATTATGTTACCATCTAAATACAGTTAATTATTTTTCTGGTATTTCCAATCAGGTGGAGAATTTTACAGTGTCTTTCTCAGATGGCCGTGTGCTGTGTTATCTGATCCACCATTATCATCCGTGCTACGTGCCTTTCGACGCTATATGTCAGCGCACTACTCAGACTGTGGAATGCACACACACTGGTTCAGTGCTATTAAATTCATCATCTGAGTCTGATGATAGTTCTCTGGATGTGTCTCTTAAAGCAGCTGATTGTGGTTAGTCCCTTTTTGTTAATTAACTTTTCCAGTTCTTTGCCATGTCTGATTTTTGGCTACAGCAGTCTAATTTCTCTTTTTCACTCACATAATAGAAAATACTTCAGAACTATACAAAGAACTCCTAGAAAATGAAAGGAAAAATTTTCATTTAGTTAGCTCTGCAGTTAGAGATCTTGGTGGAATACCTGCTATGATTAATCATTCAGATATGTCAAATACAATTCCAGACGAAAAGGTAAGTAAAAGAAGAGTTTCTTAATTAACAACTCAATAATAAGAGTCTCAGAAGATGACAGTAAGTTGTATATTCTCTGTTGATCGGTTTTCATCTTTTGTGTTTTCTTTTAGGTGGTTATTACCTATTTGTCATTTCTTTGTGCAAGGCTTTTGGATCTTCGTAAAGAAATAAGAGCTGCTCGACTTATACAGACAACATGGAGAAAATATAAATTAAAAACAGATCTCAAACGCCATCAGGTACTCCTAGAAAATGAAAACACTATAGTGTGAATTATAAGTAATGAATTATTATAATTAATTTCATTGTTCAGTAGTGAAGATACCACTTGATTGATTTTTATATTAATATTTTACTGATGTATGATGTTATTATCATAAATTTAATAATCTATATGTTTTGGGTTGGGGAGGTATGATTATTTCTCCTTATTGGCTGACATTTCATTCAGATGATGTAGCTTCCAGTCTCTGTCCACCATTTTACTTAATCTGTTCCAGGGGGAGAGGAATAACTTATTTACTTTGTAAATTTATGAAGAATACTCTAGGGATGTTTAACTCAGGCTTTCCTTTCCAATTACTAAATAGAATCTAACCTCCTCCCGGAAAACAGGAGTTTTCCATTAATTTTTTCATGCTATGCTGTGTTAGGCTTGACCTCATCTAGTGCTGCTTGGGCCTGGGCATCAAATGTCTGATTTTACTGTTTAATTAGCTCATTTTGTTTGCCATGAAACTGTTTTCCAGTTTATCCTTTATTAGTTTTAAATATGGCATTTTGGTTTCCAATATTTTATTTTTCAAAATGCCTAGGACCTGAGCACAGGGATAGAGATATTATTTATTGATTCCCTTTGTAATCCCAGTAATACAAAAATTTGTATTAACATAAAATACATATTTTTTTCTTAAGTTCTGAGAAAATTGTCATTTTTTAGAATTTTTAAGAAAAATTTCTTTGGTCAAGAACAAACTATTTTAATCCTTTTGCCTCCCTACCCCCTCCACCAATTAACATTATGTTTATATTTATTTATTTGGAAAAATTGAAGAAAATAAAACAAGCAGCCATGACTAATAAAATTTATCATAGATATTGTAGAAATTACTTCTACCCAATATTATTTCTCAATTTTGAATTATAATGCATTATGATAAAGTTTATGGTAGCTATCTGAAAGAGCTAAATTTTGGCCACTCTTAAAGATAGCATATGTTTTCTTATACCATGTTAGACTTGGAAATAACACTAATTGAAATAATTTGCCCTTGCTCCACTAAAAGTCTTTGTAGTACCTTTGGGGAATAGGTAGGGTCTTGCACTTACTAATGGTCATTTCTGCTGCTCTATATGCTCTGTGCCCTATTTTGCCCTTTAATCTGCCTCCTCGCCCACAAGTCATTTGGAGGATAACTGTACTGTAGAAAACTTCTAGGAGAATTGTTTTAGGAAAGTTTTCAGGGAAGACTCTCTCATGGCCAAGTCCTCAAGTTGTTTGATTTATTCTTTTTATATTACATTAAATAAGAGTTTTAGACGTACAAGAAAGAGTTATCAATCAGAATATATATTAATATATGTATGCTTTATTTTTTGTTCAAGATAGCCTTGTATTGATCAGATATTAATTTAGAATTTTCATAGCTTTTTTCTGGTAAGATCCTTTTTCTTGATTTATTTCTTTAATGCAAATAAAAATTTTCCTGTTTTTTGAAGGTCTAAATTAAAAGAAATTTCTGTACCTATGGTTAAACTTCATCAACCCAATCATACCATTGTCTCTCTTCTTTCTCCTAGTAACCATATTCCCTCTCTCATACAATGACACTAACATCCAATTACAGTTTTTCATTTTCTATTTGGAACATTAAACAGCAGGCTCCCTGTATATCCTAATAGAAATTTTACAAATTAAGCATATAAATATTATCTTGAGACACTATTTTGGGGGTTTTATCTTTTGCTTTTACATCATTATTATAATTTATATAAATCCATTAAGAATAGAGTGTCTCAAACTTTCGTAGTGACAAAGAAACACTTGCAAGTAGCCAAAGTTACCTAGTGAATTATCTCAGAGCCCCTGACATGTTCCGTTTCTCAGTTCTTCCTGTCAACAAATGGGCATAAACTTTAAAGCAAAGTAAATCCTAGTATGTGGTGGCCCCTATATGAGACAAAATAAAAGAAATTAGCTGGTAACTGGATGGCTCAACAACAGCATACGATTAAAGATGACATGTGGTCCTACTTAGAGAAGGGTCAATGACTGCAGGTATGGAAGCGTTTACCACTAGCTTATGGAAGTTTTCAAATAGTTGCTAATTTTTTAAAATATATTTGCTTCTTTGTATATACTTTCCATCTTTAGCTTCTCTAATGTCATATAAAGTTGTTGTATTTTAGTTGGTTTGTAATAGAGATGATATAAAAGCTGAGGTAAGTTTCAATTTACCTTAGCCTAGTTATTCATTCATTCATTCACTCACTCGCTCACTCCTAGCTAACAGAGGTGTGCTTTCAACTTCGCTCTCTACAACCCTGAAGGCCACAGGCTTCACAGGGGCACTGAGAATGATGTTAGGTAGCTTCATCAACTTGGTATACATAACTCCCCTAGCCCAAGTTTAGAATTGTCTAGTTTTTCTACTCAGAGGAATGATCTAATACAGAGCCCTTACATTTCCTTAATATTTGTTTCAGTCTATTAGTTACCTTTTTTATATGTAGGAATACAGTTTGATCCCTTCCATGGTTGTGTTCTCATACTGTGCCGCCTCCATGCACACATACCATCCACTGATTCTTATTAATTAATTAGGATCTATAGCTAATCTCTGCGTATACCCTATAGACTATCTCAGACAACAACAATAAAAGTTGTCAGACATGCTATAAGTTGTTACTTTCCACCAGAGCAAATAACTCATAAACTGTAATAGTTTCCAGTTCAGGTGAAGTGAAGTGATAAATCTAGCCTTGGACAGTATAGCAAAGTGATTAAGGGCATGGACTCTGAAGCCAGATTGTCTCTTCAAATTCGATATTGCCTGGAGACTGACGAGCCACTTCACCTCTCTGCCTCAGTTTCCTCAGGATCATAAGAGTAGTATCTGCACATTTGTTATTATGGTTCTTGTGAGGTTTAGATATATCATTCATGAAGTGTTTAGAATGGTGCTGGACATAAAATATGTTCTTACTCATAGCAGTTCATTATGAGAAGTAACAGAGATACTGGCCTCTCAAGTTCCTAGGGCAGCTGGTTCCCATTGGACTGCTGATGGTCAAAGAGTGGCATCTCAAATACCCCTTCTCACAGCCCAAACCACACTTTGTTCTCTTGAGTCTCTATGATTTAAGGCCACAATGTATTCTGTGCTGAAGGAAGAAGTATGTTGTTTTCCTCCTCTTTTGTGTTTTTCTCGTTCAAATTGTAACAAAGTAACACTACCTTATACTGTAAAGCATTTTTTTTCGTATAATCCACTCCTTTCCTAAAAGTGAAGCATGCATTTGCTGGACCCAAATCTAAGAAACATACCACACTGCACGTCAGATTGCCCTTATCTTAATTATTGTGGCTCAATGATAGATCAAACATGTCTATGATCTTTATCTTAGACTATTTTTAGGAATCTTTGTTTCATCATGCAAACATATCTGCAAGCCCACCTATCAGCTGTTTCTACATGCCCAGAGGTGTAGTGTCAATATTCTAAAGATGAGCACAAGGAGCCTGGGGTGTGTTTCATTTCAGGATCAATTTGATTAATGTTTCACAGTTGATTATCTTACAGAGGATAATTTAAGGTCTTAAGTTATTGTTTAATTCACATTTGCTAATTTTCTTTAAGGAGCAAGACAAAGCTGCAAGAATTATTCAGTCAGCTATAATCAATTTTCTAACTAAACAGCGATTGAAGAAAGAAGTTAATGCAGCACTGGTCATTCAGAAATTCTGGCGAAGACTCTTAGCACAGAGAAAATTATTAATGCTAAATAGGGAAAAAGTGGAAAAAATTCAATATAAATCAGCATCAATTATTCAGGTATAGTATTCTGGACTAATTTTTTAATTTAAAGCATTTAATGACTTTTTTAAAGGAAGATGATAAAATGTGATAAAATTTTTAATGATTATATTTTAGGATTCTTAAATACTTAATGAATATTAAACACCTTTATTATCTGTAAAACTCTTTGCTGTGTTTAGCATAAGGCTGAAATATAATCGAAATGCTATTATACAATTAATAGACTACAGTGTAGTATAAACATAACTTTTATATGTACTGGGAGACAAAAAATTTGTGTGACTTTATTGTGATATTTGCTTTATTGTGATGGTCCGGAAGCAAACTCATGGTATCTCCGAGGTATGCCTGTATATATTTCAACTTTAGCAGACCCTGCCTAAGTGTTTTTGAAAGTCCTTATAGAAATTTAAAACCCACCAGGTGCTCATGATAGCATATGTGACATCGTGTCTATGTAAACATTTGAAAATTGTCTATTTAATTTTAGCCATTCTGGTGGTGTGCAATAGTATTCAGAGTATTTTTAATTTACATTTTCTTATTAATTAATGATGAACACCTTTTCATCTTTGAAATCTTTGGTGAAGTGTTATTTCAAGTATCTTTTTTAAATTTTTTTTTCAATTTGTTTGCCTTCTTGTGGATTTATAAGAGATCTTTATATATTCTGGTTATTAGACCTTAGTTGTATGTGCATTTTGTAAGTATCTTCTCCCAGGCTGTTATTTACTGTTCTATGTCTTACTAACGGAATTTCTTAACTTTTTTTTATGGTTAGTGTTTTTTGTGTACCATTTAAAGAGTGTTTCCTTATCCTAAGGCCTTGTACATATTGTCTTATATTCTACAAGTATTTTTTTTTTTTTTTTTTAGACAGAGTCTCACTGTGTTGCCCAGGCTAGAGAGCCGTGGCGTCATCCTAGCTCACAGCAACCTCAAACTCCCGGGCTCAAGTGATCCTCCTGCCTCAGCCTCCCGAGTAGCTGGGACTATAGGCATGTGCCACCATGCCTGGCTAATTTTTTCTATATATTTTTAGTTGTCCAATTAATTTCTTTCTATTTTTAGTAGAGACGGGGTCTCGCTCTTGCTCAGGCTGGTTTCGAACTCCTGAGCTCAAACAATCCGCCCGCCTCGGCCTCCCAGAGAGCTAGGATTACAGGCGTGAGCCACCGCGCCCGGCCATTCTACAAGTATTAATGTTTTATCTTTCAGGTTTAGATCCCATCTCAAAGTAATTTTATCATGTGACTTGTTTTAGGGACCATTTTTTCTTTTTTTATATGTGGGAATATTCAGTTGTTTCAGCAAGATTTACTAAAATAACCATCCTTGTGCCCTTGCCGTGCTACCTTTAGTATATGTCAAATATTCTTATGTGTGGTTCTGTTTCTGCTGTTTTTCTATTTCATTGGGTTTTTTTGTCTATCTTTGAGCCTTGCACTGTAGCTTTACATGAAATCTAGACATCTAGTAGGTAGTCCTTTGTTAGTGATTTGCAAATAATTTCTCCCAATCTATATCTTCTGTTTTTATTCTCTTAACAGAGTTTTTGCATAGCAAAAGTGTTTCATTTTGATGAAATCAAATTATCACTTTTTTTCTTCTATGGATTGTTCTTTTAGTGTCATATCGAAGTACTCTAGAAGTTTTATAATTTTCCCTTTTAAATTTTGACCTATGATGTATTTTGTGTTAATTTTTGTCTAAGTTATGAAGGTTAGATCAAGGTATACTTTTTTCACATTATAGATGTCCAATTGTTCCAACACCATTTATTGAAAAGACCATTCTTTCTCCATTAAAATATTTTTGAATCTTTGCCGTAAATCAGTTTGCCATATTTGGGTTGATCTTCTGATTCTATTCTGTTACATTAATGTATGTGTTTCCTTTGCCAATACCACAGTGCTTCGATTACTGTAACTTTATAGTAAGCCTTAAAATTGGGTATTGTGATTCTTCCAACTTTATTCTTTCTTCAGAATGGGTTGGGCTGTTCTAATTTCTTTGTCTTTCCATGTAGGTTTTAGATTCAACTTTTCCATATCTTAAAAAAATCCTGCCAAATGTTGGTTGGAATTGTGTTACATCCACAGATATTTGGAGGATAATTAACACCTTCACTATGTTAAGTATTCCAGTCCATGCAGATGGTATATCTTTCCATTTAAGATCTTAAAGATCTTATATGTATTTTGTTAGATATAAACCTGAGTATTTCATCTGTTTGCTGCTAATGTAAATGGCATTATAGCCTACAAATTTGCTTATTAGTTCCAGGATTTTTTTCTTTTTTTGTTGATTCTTTGGGATTTCCTAGGTAGATAATCATGTTATCTGTGAGCAGACAGTTTCATTTTTTCCTTCTCAATCTGTATACCTTTTCTTTTCTTTTCTTTTATTGCATTTGCCTGCACTTCTAGTATGATGTTGATTAGGAGTAGTGAGAGGGCACAACCTTGCTTTGTTCCAGATCGTAGAGGGAAAGCATCTAGTTTCTCACCAATAAGTCGATGGTAGCTGTAGGTTTGTATAGATGTTTTTTATCAAATTGTGGAAGATCCCCCTCTATTCCTAGTAATTTTTTCCAACAATTTTTCTTTTTCTTGTTCAGCATGGATAATTTGTATTGATCTTCAAGTTAAATTGGCTGTTGTCTCCATTCTGCTATTATGCCATTCCTGTGAATTTTTATTTTGGTTATTGTGTTTTTCAGTTCTACTTTTCTCATTTGCTTCTTATTTGTCTCTTATGTCTTTATTGAGACTTTCAATTTTGCATTAGTTCAACTTAATGGAGCATTTTTACTTTAGTTGCTTTAAAGTCTATGTCAAGTAACTTCAACATCTGTGTCATCTCACCATTGACACCTATTGATTGTCTTTTCCCGTGTGAGTTGAAATTTTCCTGTTATGTATTATGTCAAGTAACTTTTAATTTCATTCTGGATATTTTAAAGGTTATGTTAGGAGTCTCTGTGTTTTGTATAAATCCTATGGAGAGTGTTGATATTTTAGTTTAAGCAGGTAATTCACATGGTTGGGTTCAGGCCACAAATTCTCATCAGCCTTCTGTGGGTATAACTTCAATGTCAGTTCCTTTTCCAAAGCCCTTACAGTGATATTTGTATAAATATAAACTTGCTTATGTTTCTTATGTCTCTAGAATACAAATGAAGTATATAAATATACTTAGGATTCAGATGGACTTTTGAATTAGCTACAGCTATGTCAATGTTAAAACTAAACTACAAACAAAAGAGCTAAGTATCTAGCAAAAACAGGTTTGCTTTCTACCTTAGTATGTTTATTTTTAAGCAGAGTGTTAGAAAAATTAGTATTTTCAAGTGTTAAATGTAGAAAGCTATGTCTATTTTACTTTACGTCCTTTCTTACCTTTTTCAGGCTTATTGGAGAAGATATTCCAGTAGAAAAAGATTTTTGAAATTGAAATATTATTCAATCATCCTGCAATCTAGGATAAGAATGATAATTGCTGTTACGTCTTATAAACGATATCTTTGGGCTATAGTTACCATTCAGAGGCGCTGGTGTGCTTGTTTAAGAAGGAAACAAGATCAACAAAGATATGAAAAGCTAAAATCATCATCTCTTATAATCCAGCGTATGTTCAGAAGATGGAAGCGACGTAAAATACAATTACAAATAAAAGCTGCAATAATATTGCAAAGAGCTTTTAGAGAATGGCATTTAAGGAAGCAAGCTAAAGAAGAAAAGTCTGCTATTGTCATACAATCATGGTATAGAATGCACAAAGAATTACATAAATATATTTATATTAGATTTTGTGTTGTTACCATTCAGAGAAGATTTCGGTGCTTTCAAGCCCAAAGGTTATATAAAAGAAAAAAAGAGTCCACACTGACTATCCAGAAGTACTACAAAGCATATCTGAAAGGGAAGATTGAGCGTACCAACTATTTGCAGAAACGAGCTGCAGCCATTCAACTACAGGCTGCTTTTAGGAGAATGAAAGCTCGTAATTTACGTAGACAAATTAGAGCTGCTTGTGTTATTCAGTCATATTGGAGAATGAGACAAGACAAAATTCGATTTTTAAACCTTAAAGAGATGATTATCAAATTGCAGGCACACATAAGAAAACATCAACAATTACAGAAATATAAAAAGATGAAGAAAGCAGCCCTTATTATTCAGACTCATTTCCGAGCTTACATTTCAGCCAGGAAAGTTCTAACATCTTATCAGAAAACACGTTCTGCTGTAATTGTTCTACAGTCTGCATATAGAGGGATGCAAGCCAGGAAAATGTTTATTTACATCCTCAAATCTATTATAAAGATTCAATCATGTTATCGTGCTTATATTTATCAAAAGAAATTTCTGAGCCTAAAGAATGCTACAATAAAATTGCAATCAGTTGTCAAGATGAAACAAACACGTAAACAATACTTACATTTAAGAGCAGCTGCACTGTTTATCCAGAAATGTTACCGTTCCAAAAAAATGGCTGCACAAAAGAGAGAAGAGTATATGCAGATGAGGGAATCTTGTATCAAGCTGCAAACTTTTGTTAGAGGATACCTGGTGAGAAAGCAGATGAGGTTGCAAAGAAAAGCTGTTATTTTACTACAGTCTTATTTCAGAATGAGAAAGATGCGGCAGTACTACCTGAAAATTCATAAAGCAATTGTTGTGATTCAGAATTACTATCGTGCGTACAAAGCACAAGTCAATCAGAGGAAAAACTTCTTACAAGTCAAAAGAGCAGCTACTTGCCTACAAGCAGCGTACAGAGGTTATAAAGTACGCCAACTAATCAAACAACAATCTATAGCTGCTCTTAAAATTCAAACTGCTTTTAGAGGCTATAGTCAAAGAGTAAAATATCAATCTGTGCTTCAGTCTATTATGAAGATTCAGAGGTGGTACAGGGCTTACAAGACTGTTTATAATATAAGAACACATTTTTTACAGACAAGGGCAGCTGTGATTTCCCTCCAGTGTGCTTATCGTGGCTGGAAAGTTCGGAAGCAGATCAGAAGGGAATATCAAGCTGCAGTGAAGATTCAGTCTGCTTTTAGAATGGCCAAGGCCCAGAAACAGTTTAGATTGTTAAAAACAGCAGCAGTAGTCATCCAGCAACATCTGAGAGCTTGGACTGCAGGAAAGAAGCAACGTATGGAGTATATTGAACTCCGTCACACAGTACTGACGCTTCAATCTACATGGAAGGGAAAAACAGTGAGAAGACAGATTCAAAGGCAGCACAAATGTGCTGTCATCATACAGGCCTACTACAGAATGCATATGCAACAAAAGAAGTGGAAAATCATGAAAGAAGCTGCTCTTCTGATTCAAAAGTATTATAGGGCTTACAGTATTGGAAGGGAGCAGCATTGTTTATATTTGAAAACAAAAGCAGCTGTAGTAATTTTACAGTCAGCTTACCGTGGTATGAAAGTGAGAAAAAGAATAAAGGATTGCAACAAAGCAGCAGTCACTATACAGTCCAATTATAGAGCTTACAAAACCAAAAGGAAATATGCAACCTATCGAGCTTCAGCTATTATAATTCAGAGATGGTATCGAGATATTAAAATTACAAATCATCAGCGTAAGGACTATCTTAACTTGAAGAAAGCAGCAATCGAAGTCCAAGCTGTTTATAGAGGTATTAGAGTCAGAAGACACATTCAACTCATGCACATGGCAGCCACTTCTATTAAAGCCATGTTTAAAATGCATCAGTCAAGAAAAAGATACCATACAATGAGATCAGCAGCTATTGTCATTCAGGTAAGATACAGAGCATATTATCAAGGTAAAATTCAGCGTGAAAAGTACCTGACAATTTTGAAAGCTATTAATATTCTTCAGGCAAGTTTTAGAGGAGTAAGAGTTAGACAGACTCTAAAAAAGATGCAGATTGCAGCCACACTCATTCAATCATACTATAGAAGATACAGGCAGCAAACATATTTTAATAAGTTAAAGAAGGTAACAAAAACAGTACAGCAGAGATATCGGGCAGTGAAGAAAAGAAACATTCAATTTCAAAGGTATAACAAATTGAGGCATTCCATAGTATACATTCAGGCTGTTTTTAGGGGGATGAAAGCCAGAAGACATTTAAAAGTTATGCATGTAGCCGCAACCCTTATTCAGAGAAGATTTAGAACTCTAATGATGAGAAGAAGATTCCTCACTCTCAAGAAAACTGTTGTTTGGATTCAGCGAAAATATCGAGCACATCTTTGTGCAAAGCATCACTTACAATTCCTTCGGTTCCAAAAGGCAGCTATTAGAATCCAGTCATCATACGGAAGATGGATGGTAAGGAAAAAGATGCAGGAGATGCACAGGGCTGCTACTTTGATCCAGGCTACTTTCAGAATGCACATAGCACATGTGAGATACCAGGCTTTGAGACAGGCCTCTGTTGTGATCCAGCAGCAATACTACGCAAACAGAGCAGCAAAACTGCAGAGGCAGCATTATCTCAGGCAAAGACATTCTGCTGTGACCCTTCAGGCTGCATTCCGGGGTATGAAAACTAGAAGACGTGTGAAAAGTATGCATTCCTCTGCAACCCTTATTCAGAGTAGGTTTAGATCACTGCTGATAAGGAGAAGATTCATTTCCCTCAAAAAAGCTGCTATTTTTGTTCAGAGGAAATATCGAGCCACCATTTGTGCCAAGCATAAATTGCACCAATTCTTGCAGTTACGAAAGGCAGCTATTACAATACAGTCATCTTGCAGAAGACTGATAGTAAAGAAAAAGTTACAAGAAATGCACAAGGCTGCAGTTCTCATCCAGGCTACTTTCCGAATGCACAGAACGTATATTACATTTCAGACTTGGAAACATGCTTCAATTTTAATTCAGCAACATTATCGAATATACAGAGCTGCAAAATTGCAAAGAGAAAATTATAGGAGACAATGGCATTCTGCTGTCGTCATTCAGGCTGCATATAAAGGAATGAAAGCAAGACAGCTTTTAAGGGAAAAGCACCAAGCTGCTATCATAATACAAAGCACATATAGAATGTATAGGCAATATTATTTCTACCGAAAGCTTCAGTGGGCTACAAAGGTAATACAAGAAAAATATAGAGCAAATAAAAAGAAACAGAAATCTCTTCAACCCAATGAGCTTAAGAAAGCAGAGACTTGTATTCAGACAAGTTTTCAGGACATAAACCTAAGGAAACAAATTCAGAAACAGCATCAGGCTGCCATTACTATTCAGAAGTATTTTAAAGCCTTGGAAATAAGGAGGCATTATCTCCATCTCAAAGCAACAGTGGTTTCTGTTCAAAGAAGATACAGAGCACTAACTGCAGTGCGTACCCAAGCAGTTATTTGTATACAGTCTTCTTACAGAGGCTTTAGGGTACGAAGGGAGATCCAATCTATGCACCTGGCTGCCATACTGATTCAGTCTTTCTACCGAATGCACAGGGCCAAAGTTGATTATCAAGCAAAGAAAACTGCGATTGTTGTTATACAAAATTATTATAGGTCATATGTCAGAGTAAAAATGGAAAGGAATAAATTTTTAGCAGTTCAGAAATCTGTAAGAACTATTCAGGCTGCTTTTAGAGGCATGAAAACCAGACAAGAATTGAAAAACATATCTGAAGAAAAGATTTCAGCCATTGTTAACCCATCTGCACTCTGCTGTTGCGGAGCTAAAACTCAGCACAAAGCTGTTCAAAGTGAGGACGTTACGATTCAAGAGTGGTATAAAGCTTCTCCACTTGCTTGTTTTCAGGAAGCAGAGTATCATTCTCAGAGTAGGGCTGCAGAACCAATTCAAAAAGTTTTTCATGAAATGTTCACAAGAAAACTGGAAATGCAGAAATGCGCTGCCTTACGAATTCAGTCCTTCCTGCAGATGGCCCTGTGTCGAAGAAGGTTTGTTTGGCAGAAAAGAGCTGCTATCACCTTGCAGCAGTATTTCAGGACATGGCAAACCAGAAGACAGTTTTTACTGTATAGAAAAGCAGCAGTGGTTTTACAAAATCACCACAGAGCCCTTCTGTCTGCAAAACATCAACGACAAGTTTATTTACAAATCAGGAGCAGTGTTATCATTATTCAAGCTAGAGCAAAAGGATTTATACAGAAACGGAAGTTTCAGAAAATTAAAAATAGCACCATAAAAATTCAGGTATTTATTGAATTTAAAACTTTCAGTCTTTTGAGCAATATTTGTTAGAATTTATAGAATGAGCTTAAGCAGTTCATAAAGAAATAATACTTAGTTTCAGTGACCATTTCACTCATCTTTCAAAATGGAACATTTTTGAGGGTTGAGAAAGGGCACCAGTGATAATTCACCTAAGACAGCACAAAACCGGGATTGTTCTGGCCATGGTCACCCTATGCTCGGTGCATATCAGTAGGTGTTAACTGTAGCACTCCTGAAAGAATTTTAAGAAAATGGGAGTTCTCTATTTGGCAAAGTTACTTTTTTAAGTAGAAAATTTAAGCTCAGGTGAAGTATTATTTAATGTAATTTAGGCCAAATAGGGTAACTTTATTCCTCTACTAATCTGTTGACCAGAGCCACTTAGGCTAGTAGCATACTTTATTCAGAGTGTTGAGTACTTCTGGCTTCCAAAGCACTTTTATATTATTTTATCTGATCTATTCTTCAAATGTGTGAGAAATTTTCTCTCTTTTATAATAAAATATGAGAGAACTGAGAAAGGTTAACTTGCCAGTGTTGCACAAAGAGAAGCAGAATCAGGAATTAAATCTAGGTACTTTAGCAATTTCTGTTTTTCCTGCAATAACCTGGGCTTTGAACCCATGTGTGATATGTTTGATATCTTGCTGGGTTGCTGTTCATCTTAGAAGTAATGTTTTATTCAACTAATATCAAATACTGGCAATGTGCCAAATACTGCACTGGGTGTTAGGAATAGACAGTGAGTAAAACATACTTCTTAATATTTGCTGTCCTCCAAGAACTTAATTGAGCAAAAAGAGTTGCTGGAAACACAGAGAAAGGGAAACCAAGCTAGTCTCAGTGGTCAGAGAAGACTTCCCAGAGCAAGTGACATTGAAGTTATTTAACTTGAAATGTTAAGCTGAAGTATGAATTGGAAATAACCAAGTAAAAGGTATGGCAGGAGAATTCCAGTTCCAGGAGATAACATGGAAAAATCCCAAAACTAGAGGGAGCAATAAAAATGATCTGAGACTAGGTTGGCAAAAGAGGGAGTAAGACCATGGATAGATTTATTGTATAAGACATAGAAAAAAGTTTAGTTTTTATCCTGCAGAGTAAAAGAAGTTTTAGAGGAATTTAAGCAGGAGAAGGCTAGAAAAAAAATCACTCTGGCAGGAATGTGGAAGATGGACTGAAAAGGGAACAAATCTAAAAGCAGGGAGAGCAGGCCGTTGGCAGTAGCAGGTGAAAGATCGTCATAGTTCAGTGTAGGTTAGGGACAATGGGACTGTATGAATTAGTTCGATTCGAAGGATAGAACTGTCATTATACAGAACATAAAAAAGGAAGCAGGCCATGTTTACAGCGTAAGTAACTGAGGAGTTACTTTCCCATACACTGACGTAGGGAACAAAGAAGAGGAGCAAGTTTACAGATTGACGATGAATTCAGTTTGGAGTGCATGAAGTCAGAAGTACGTAGCACACGCTCCCCTTGAGATGTCTAGTAAGGCAATTGACTGTGTTTGTCTGGAATTCAGGAGGGTAGTATGAATGTTAGAATTTGATTTGTACGTAATTGGCATATACAGGTAATGGGGGGCAGTGATGGGGTCCCTTAGGGAGAACGTACAGAATGGGTAAAAGAGGGCCTGGGACTTGAGCCGTGATGAACATCAAAATTCAAGGACATTAACAAGGTAAGTCAACATGGTATTAAGAGGGAAAGAAGAAAGCTAAGGCATTATGGTATCAAGAAACCAAGGGTTGAGGAACAAAGGAAGGAAGGAGTCCTCAAATTCCAAATGCTACCAAGAAGTTCAGAATCGAAAGTTGTTAATTGGATATATTAGTTAAGGTTATATTCAGCTGAAATGATTGAAAAGCCAAAATAACAATCTTATGAAAATTTGACTTTTTTCTTTTATGTAATTATGTCATAAAATTATATTTTACACATGCAATTTTTAGCGTGTACCAGTGGTCTCAAACTTTAATGCATATTGGAATCACCTGGAATCTTTAAAAATACTGATATCTAACTCCTATCTCTAGCATTCTGACTTAATTGGTATGGGGAGCATCACGAGCATTGGGATTTTTAAAAACTCCCCAGGTGGTTCTGATGAGCAGCAAAGTTTGGGAACCACTGGAATATACTGTGAATTACTGAATAGCTATATGTATACACATATATATAAGTGTATATAATGTATTCAGGTTTACATAAAAGTATGTATGTAATATATAAATATATATAACTTATATAAAAATATTCTGATTTATGTAAAAATGATATGTAATATACTCAGAGTGAGTTAAGGACATCTCAAGAGTATTTTTGAACATACGTAATTCTTTTTTGAGACAGAGTCTCACTCTGTTGCCCAGGCTAGAGTGCCGTGGCGTCAGTCTAGTTAACAGCAACTCAAACTCCTGGGCTCAAGCGATCCTTCTGCCTCAGCCACTCAAGTAGCTTGGACTACAGGTGCTGGCCACCACGCCCAGTTACTTTTTTTGTTTCTATTTTTAGTTGCCCAACTAATTTTTTTCTATTTTTAGTAGAGACCAGGTCTCGCTCTTGCTCAGGCTGGTGTCAAACTTCTGACCTCAAGCGATCCTCCCGCCTCGGCCTCCCAGAGTGCTAGGATTACAGGCGTGAGCCACCGCGCCCAGCTGTAATTCTTGCCTTGTCAACTGAATCTAGAACCTAATCCTCGGATAAGTGGGAGCTGCAGTATTTGTTGTAGGGGTATTAGAGTCAAGTAGACTTCTATTCAAATCTTGATTCTATCACTTACCACCTATCTGGTAACAAGTCTTTCTCAATCTCAATTTCTGCATTTTTATATAATAGAGATCTCAATGAACATTTCATAAGATAGTTTTAAATATTAAATAAGATAGCTCTGCCACTTATTAACCTGTGGAACATCAATAAGCTACTCAATGTCTGGGTCTTGATTTCCTCCTCTCTAAATCAGAAATAGTATCACCTAATATAAGGACTGATAGTCTTTAGTGCTTAGTTCAATAAGTTATAGCTGTCACTTAATTTGTAGTCAGCCACAAGGTGGCCAAAATTACAAAATCTGACAGTCCTATCGTAGATAGAAGCTCCCAGTATTCTGCTTCAGACTGGACATAAACCCCGAAATATACGTGGAATGGTAAGGATTCCTCTTTCTCTTCTCCCCAGGAAGTGGAGTAGGTCAGTGTGTTCATTTTCTATCTGTTCTTCAAAATGGATTGAGGTGGTGAGGACAATGCACATAATCTGGCTTTTCAGATATGCATATCTTCCAATATTTAAATATTGGTTAAGATTTTGTTAGACTGGGCTGGCCACAGGGTATGTGTAATAAATTACATAGTAGGAATTCACTATAGTAAGCACCTCTGTTCTCAGAGGGTTCACTATGTATCAGAGTCTGTGTCGTGATATGACTATATTTCTGCAATTTATTTTTAATGGCATTAACCTTATATTAAATACTAATCCTTCCAATTTACAAAAAAACTGGACAACTCATTGCATACTTTTTATATTTATGTATTCAATAGGCCATGTGGAGGAGATATAAAGCCAAAAAATATTTATGTAAAGTAAAAGCTGCCTGCAAGATTCAAGCCTGGTATAGGTGTTGGAGAGCACGCAAAAGGTATCTAGCTGTATTAAAAGCTGTTAAAATTATTCAAGGTTGCTTCTATACTAAACTGGAGCGAACACGGTAATGTATCGCAGTTCTATAGAGGAGTGGGAGAATATTTCTGTGTAGTAGCTAAGTTCTTATATACAATAAAATAACACTGCTTATTGATTTTTCTTTTAAATGTTTGTTGTGCCTAATTTATATGGTTAGATTTGTTATTATTTTCTCTGTTAAGGAAACAAAATATATCTTTTGGACTGTCTTTTTTCAGATAGAGTGTAGCCTTGATAATATAATTAGTGAAAAATATTTCCTTATACCCAATTAATTCTCACAGAGATGAGGGTAAGAACAGAGGGCTGGGAAGTGAATAAATAATCTAGTTAAGTCTTGGTTTCCTTATTAATACTTTGGTCCATTTTATTTGGTGACTTAGCTTCTGACAAAATTTTTTTTGAACTTTATATTATTCTCTATATTCTGTGTCGTTAATGATGAAGACCCTAACTACCAGCCTGTCTATGTTAATTCCATTTCCCTAGTCCTAGTTCATTTCTTATACACACATTTTCAGAAGCTGTTAACAGATCATCTTTTTTTTTATTTCACAGTATAAGAATTTTTCTTCAGTTACCAGAATTGATGGATTGTTGCATCAGCGATGGTTTTAAAGATCGTTTCAGGAGAGCACACTAGTGTTAGAGGAATTCCTGGATCAATTCCATGGGTGGTAGAAGGGTTTAACATAAAAACTGAACTCATGGTGATAGAGACTAAAATGATGGTTAGCAGAGAGGCTAGTGTGGTTTGCGGGGAGGGAGGGATAGAGAGGGATCGGTTAATGGGTACAAAAACAGAGTTAGATAGACTGAATAAGATCTAGTGTTAGGAAGCACGATGAGGTGACTATACTTAGCAATAATTTATTATATATTTCAAAATAACTAGAGGAGTGGAATTGGACGTTTCCTAACACAAAGAAATGATACATGTTGACAGATATCCCAATTCCCCTATTTGACTATTACTCATTGTATTCTTGTATCAAAATATAGACACTCTATAAATATGTACAAGTATTAATAAAAGTTAAAAAAAATAAGATACTGTTGCTACCATCAGCTATCAAGGACCAGTATGTAATTTTCCTGTATCAAATACTGAATATTTCTATCGACAGCCTTATTTTCTAAGAAACGTGGCAACAAAACAAGCTAATCTTTCTACTTTTTCCACATGACCAAAACAGATCAAAGAGTCTGTCCATTCTCAAGTTTTATCTGTTACCACTATGTTGACTTCTAAAATTTAATCTCTAACACTCACTTTTTTTTATTTTTCTACAATTCTGTTTACAGAATATCTCTATTCAGATATTCTGATGATGCCTGTCTTCCTTTGAAATGAATACCCCTTTCTTACTTGCCTGATCTCTCAAGTTCTCTTCCTGACCACTTCCTGTCTGCTCAAAGACTCGTGGAGTACAAACTCAAATTTTATACTTTACCATTTTTTCTACCACCATTGCCTTTATCTAGGTTTTGTCTAGATTGGATAATCATATTTTCTTTTGGTCTTGTTCAAAATTCTGCAACATGTTAGAATTGTAGAACTTCATATTTCTTACCCACTGGACTGTCACCAATTGTAAAATTCTGATTGCTAGAATTTAAGTATGAATTATACTTTTCCACTGTTTTTTATTCTGTCTTTGCCTTTCTTATATTTTATTCTCCTCTAGTATAATATTTAAAAGGGAAGGCAATAAATATTTATTGAATAAATTAATTTTATATTACTTTCCTATAACTACTTTTTAGGTTTTTGAATGTGAGAACATCAACAATTACCATTCAGAGAAAATGGAGAGCTACACTTTCTGGAAGAATAGCTCGTGAGCACTTCTTAATGATAAAAGTAGGTATAAAAAAATTCATTTGCTAAGTACTACATTAGGAAACAGAAAACAAACAAAAATAGTGTCTTTAAGACCTGGCTATGCATTTATTTCACACACACTATTGCAGTCAATTACAAATTATATTCACCCGTAAATCTACAAGTCGCTAGTATTTTTGTGGTTATATCTTACAGGCATAGCTTGTTGTACTGCACTTCATTGTATTGTGCTTTTCAGATAATTGTGTTTTTTACAAATTGAAGGTTTGTGGCAACCCTGTTGAGCAAGTCTGGTTGGTGCCGTTTTTTCCAACAGCATGTGCTCACTTCATGTCTCGAAGTCACATTCGGGTAATTCTCGCAGGATGCTATGTCATCAAGTGATTGAAGGTGTGCTGTTGGTATGCTGTATGTCTCAAAGCTATAGACAGCTTCCCTCATAGCTGTTTATGATGGTCTTTGTGTTCTCCACGTCGTAGCTAGCATTTTTGTTAAACGAATTTGTTCTGTGATGTTGGTCTTTCTCGCCCGCACAATGGAGAGAATCAGGAGGATGAGAGGGAACGAGCACCAGGTCTCTGTTGATCCTGGGCTACACCTTCCTTCTGGCTATAGACCTTATGATTTTAGAAATAACACTTCAGCACCTTTCATATACATGAAACATGACATTCTTAAACTATAAATGTAAAGAAAAATCATCATAATTATACGATCTCATTTTACACTGAGAAACTCAAGAACCTCTAGCAGGTTGAAAATCTTTTTATTTCTATCTATTAATGTTACTTGCAAATTTTTCCTTATAGAGACATCGAGCTGCTTGTTTGATCCAAGCACATTTTAGAGGATATAAAGGAAGGCAGATCTTTCTTCAGCAGAAATCTGCTGCTTTGATCATACAAAGATATGTACGAGCTAGGGAGGCTGGAAAGTATGAAAGGTTAAAATACGTTGAATTAAAAAAATCTACAGTTATTCTACAGGCACTGGTGCGTGGCTGGCTAGTAAGAAAAAGAGTATTTTTAAGTAGAATATCTCATTCTTATAAAATGAAAGTATCGATGTTAAATAGTGTTAAGAAATTTTGTAGAATAATTTCAGAACTAACATGACCATTAACTTGAATTCATTCAGCTGCTGGAGAGCCATGTAACAAGAGCACTGGTTGTCACAGATTTTTGTTCTACGATCTTACTGTTTCCCACAAATGCTCAGCGTCAAAGATGCAAAATAAAATCTCTATTACGTAATAAGCCTTAACACAGGCACTGGAACATGTATGAGGGAAAAGCTCCATATGTGAATGAGGTCAACTGTTCTTCAGGTAGCTTTTTGCTGCCAATAAGCAACTTTTGAGATGTTGCAACTCCCGTTCCTGTGATAGCTCCACAGCTTCTTCAGCAAGACAGAATCCTTTTTGGGGAGCTCATGACATTTGGGTTTCTAACGTGTGAAGTACCGGCATAGACAAAATAATTAGATTTGAAGTTTCAAAGGACGTACCTTTTGTCTTTTGTTCATTAAATATAAATTGGAAGCCCAAAGGCCACTGTAGCTTATGCTACAAGAGTCATATGCCGGACCTGCACTGTACTATATAGTACTGGAGAGATTAATTCATATAATTTTGTCTGATTTAATATTACCATCTTCAACAGTTCTGCTCAGAAGACTGTAACCTTTTTTTGAGTTTGATATTTATACCCTTCTCTAATTATAAGTACATTACAAAACCTCAACTAGCTGTTATTGGGTAGTCCAGTTAAATTAAATGCTATTATGATTTAGTAAAGTACCCAACATATAATTTTGCTTTCTATACCCTGAGTTACACTATTAGAAATATTATATAGTAAAGGATTTTAATCTCTGAATTACAATATAAATGTAATAATTAAAAGTTAATTTCTGTTTGCTAGTTTATATATTTTAATGTTGAGGTTCTACAAAAATAAACACTGATTATTTTACGAGTCAGATACTTAATTATTAATACTCTTTGTTTTTTTCCCTTTAGATTTTAGAACAGAAAGCCAAAATTCGGCTTCTCCACTTTACTGCAGCTGCATATTACCACCTGTCTGCTCTCAGAATTCAGAGAGCATATAAACGTCACGCGGCTGTGAAGAATGCCAGCAAGCAGGTTTGTTCAGCCATCTGTATTCAGGTTAGCTTCTCCTTTGAAGTAAAATTATATGATATAATTTTCTGTTAGAAATTTTTGATATATAATAAACAATTTCCAAATGCCTTACGACAAGCTCATATAATACTTAGCCTTTCACTGTGTAGCTTTTAGAATGATTCAAGGGTAGAAGTAGATTGATGTTTTGTGGCACAGAAATAAAGATGTGAATTATTCTCTGATAGAATTGTCCTCATTTACACTCCTACTAGCACAAGGTAGCCTTTACTCTACATCCTTGCCAACATAGACCGTCAAAAAACTTTCTGATTTTCGCCATTCTAATGTACTGGAAATGCTATCTCATTTTTGTTTTAGATTTACTTGATTGCTAGCAACTCTAAAAATTTTTTCATGTGTGTTATTTAATTTCTTATCTATGTATTCTGTGCTTTTTTTATGTTCTTTTTGCATGCATTTCACCCATTCTGTTGGATGTTCTTTATTATGATTTATAGGAATTCTTTATATATTCTGGAGAAGAATCCCATCTGTATACATTAACATAGAGTTACATATAAAATAGTTAGTGAAAAAACAAATTGCAGAATGATGCACACAGTTTGATAGAATTTATATAGATTGTAAAATGAAGGCAGTCTTATGCAGGGTTAAATACACTCACATGCACACACATGCGCACACGCGCACGCACACACACACACACGCACACACACACACACACACACACACACACACACCCACCCCTGTCCCCGCACATGGACTGGAAGGATTTGCACCAAGTAGAGTGGGGAACTAATGCCGCTGCAGAGAGTTGAAAGATACTTCAATATACTGTTCTGTTTCTTTCATGTATAAATGTGTATATGTATGTATGTATTTTTTAAAAAACCTGAAGTAAAAATGGAAAAAAAATCTTTGTTTTAAACAGAGATGGTTTCGAGCAAGATTACAACAAAAAAGTTTTATTCAGAAATATCACAGCATCATAAAAACTGAGCATGAAGTTCAAGAATGTCTGAGCCGGCAAAATAGGGCTGCATCGGTAATACAGAAAGCCGTTCGCCATTTTCTCCTTCGTAAAAAACGGGAAAAATTTAATAGTGGAATCACTAAAATTCAGGTAACCGAAACTTGCATGGTTTTAGTTCAAAAGTTTAGTTTTATCATCTATATGATATCTGATACATTAAAAACATAGTCACATACATTTTAAAAAGCTAAGAGATTAGCCAGTGGAATAACTCATAAACGCTATGCTACCATAATTTCATTGCTAAGCTCTTTCTTTTCAAATTCCCTAGAGGAGGTTTATGATCAAGAAATGAAAACGTATTTTAACCTTTTGAGTAGATTTGGATGTCTTTGATCAATGAATGATGCCTAGTTTACATATAGGAATATGATATGTATTTCTTGTTCATAAAATTGATTTTGCTATTTATTAGAATCTGAATTGAGATTTTAATTGAAATGTATCTGATCATATCATATAAATTTACTGAAAATATTTACATTGTAGAAATAGATATAGATATAAGTTCAAAACATTGACTCATCTTAAAATTACTCTGTTTTTTAATCTCTTTAAGGCATTATGGAGAGGCTATTCTTGGAGGAAGAAAAATGATTGTACAAAAATTAAAGCTATACGACTAAGTCTTCAAGTTGTTAACAGAGACATTCGGGAAGAAAACAAACTCTACAAAAGAACTGCTCTTGCACTTCATTATCTTTTGACATATAAGCACTTTTCTGCCATTCTTGAGGCTTTAAAGCACCTAGGTTAGTTTGTTTTAACAATATTTTGTGTAAAATTAGGAATGTATTTTTACCTTTGAATGTTTAAAAATATTATAATAGTACATTATAAGCTAAAACTTCATTTTTTTGCTGTAAATTTACTTGTTTTTTTTTTCCCCCACTTTCAGAGGTAGTTACTAGACTGTCTCCGCTTTGTTGTGAGAACATGGCCCAGAGTGCTGCAATTTCTAAAATATTTGTTTTGATCCGAAGTTGTAATCGTAGTGTTCCCTGCATGGAAGTCATCAGATATGCTGTACAAGTCTTGCTTAACGTAGCTAAGGTAGTTTTCCATTTTAATAACGAAATATTCATTGGTCAACAAATATGATCCTGCGTATTCAGTTTATGCTTATTTATCACTAGAACTTAACTCTCTAAGTTAAAATCACTTATATACAAGAGTCTTACGGGGAAAGATGTTTAATCTAGTAACATAACTATGGATAAAAACACTATTTTTTTATGATTTTATTTCCTTTGCCTTTATAATATTAATAGCAATGATGACTATTATTTATTAAGTACTTAGTACATGCTAGTATTTTTCATGCTTTGTTTAATCCTTACAGTAATCCTCTAAAGTAGTTCATATTGTTATTCCCATTTTATAGAAAAGGAATAATAATAATTATAGAAGTTAGGTTCCTCCCCCAAGAACCTGAGTGTGACAAGTGGTATAGTTGAATTCAGATCCATTTCTGTCTGCCTCTAGAGCTGGTGTTGCTGTCTACTGCATAGTATCAAAACATTATTACCTCATTATAATCACGTCTAGCAAAACATGATAAAGAAAAATACTGCTGAAACTTAGTTACCTTGTAACTGTTACTCTATGTATCAGAATTTAAGTCTTTTGGCCTTGGACTGGTAGCTGATATCTATATCAAACTATATTGCATGCCATCAAAGGTATTAAGATAAAACTAACTCACTCCTCAATCACAGCTTTACCCGATTTTCATATTGAGAGGCAGTGGTTAATAACACAGACTGAAGCCAAACTACCTGGGTTTGAATCCCAACTCTGCAGCTTATTATAGGTTACTGAGCTTCTCTGGGCTTCACTTTCCTCAACATACAGTACCCACCTCAAGTTGTTATTGTGAGGATTAAATGAGTTAGTATACACAAAGTGCTTGATACATAAACATGCCATATACATGTTAACTATTAATGTTTTGTTATAATTTTTATCTTAGTATCATTATTATTTGTTACCATGCAAATTTCAGTATGAATTTAATGATACAGTTAGATAAATGAAGCATGAAAAATATATCCTAGATTCATTAGTATCAAATTTATTTTGTTGTATAATATTTTAAAGCAGGCTCACCTTCCTCTCAAGGGCATGTAATAGGGTAACTAATTAGGTCTTGCCTTTATCATTATCCTACCCTATGATTAACTATCACTGATAAGTTCTTTTTTTCCTGAGACATTCTTACTAAAATGGTCTTTTCTTGAAAAGCTTGCCTTTTTTGTCTTCAATTTTGTGTTCATTTTCTGGGATTTTAGATTTGATTCGTTTTATGTAGAACTTTTACAAGTAGATGGGAAAGAAAAAGATTAAAATACAAATATACATATAACTTTAATTTCATTCTGTTCTCTTTAAGTATGAAAAAACTACTTCAGCAGTTTATGATGCAGAACATTGTATAGATGCACTATTGGAGCTTTTGCAGATGTACCGGGAAAAGCCTGGTGACAAAGTTGCAGACAAGGGTGGAAGCATTTTCACAAAAACTTGTTGTTTGTTGGCTATTTTATTGAAAACAACAAATCGAGCCTCTGTAAGTATTAATCAGTTACCTTTCTTTAAGGTTATTTTTCTATGTTCTTAAGTCTCTGACTTTTATACTTTTCCTTTAGTAAGTATCACTCTAAAATAGAGTTTTATATGTGTCAAAACCTGATTTTTGCACTGATAAAATGAATTCAGGATATATATGTGAGTTGCTTCTTTCTGACACATTAAAGAAACTGAATTCTGAAAATAGAATTTATTATAGCCCTATAAGTAACTATTTCCCATTTCCTAGAGAGAATAACAAATTATCCCAACAAGACAGAAAACCAGATATGTAGAACTTTTTATCCTCCTGTTTGTAACCATAAATATATTTCAAGCTTTTCTATAGACCTCTGAGTTAGTCTTTCTCGGTGTCAGAATCAACACAGGGGAAAACCAGAGGCCACGATTGGATTATGAGCTTTAGCCTGACAACGGCGGAAACCACTGAAGGGTTTTAAGCAAGGGGATGATATTTTTCAATTTAAAGTTTAACATCACTCTGGCTGCTGATTTAAAAATGAATTTGGGAGAGCATGTGTGGGTATAGAGAGACCATTAAGGAAGAAGACAAGTGTAGATACCTAGTGATTTAGGCAAGAGACTGTGCTTGACCCAGGGTTGTGTGGATGCCTTGGAAACTTTGAAGAGGTAGCATTTGCAAGAGTTGGTAACTGGATATGATAGGTGTATTCACTATAATATTTCCTTTTTGTATTCAGTGTGAAGTTGTGCACAACTTTTGAACATTTTCTTTGTTATTGCCTTGCAAATTAGTTCATTATTTAAATCAATCTACCTGCTAAACTTAGAGAGCTTTGTTCTTGATTATTGAAAGCTCAAAAGTTTATTATAGAGTATTTATTTGTTATGATTGATTTTGCTAGTTTAGAAGAGATATAAATGTAATTCATATTAATTTTTAATAACTGTACTTTTATTTTTTAGGAAGTACGAAGTAGGTCCAAAGTTGTTGACCGTATTTATAGTCTCTACAAACTTACAGCCCGTAAACATAAAATGAATAATGAAAGAATGCTTTATAAACAAAAGAATTCTGTAAGCATTCCCTTTTTTCCAGAAACACCTGTAAGGACCAGAACAGTTTCAAGGTAAGCAGTTAAATGTTCTTTATAATTATGTGTCACCATTCATTCATTTATCAAATATTTATTGAGCACTTACCATAAGCACAAAATTATGCTTGACATTGTAGAAACAAAATATGAATAAGAATAGAATATTTGGCAAATGTAAAGGATGCAATCTCAGTAAATAAGGTACTATAGCTTTGGGTATTTAATAGTTATTCAACAAATTCCTTATATTAAATAGTTAAGAATTTAAGGCCAAGAAACTTGTCGTAAGTTCTATCTTTTTTTTACCCCCTGTATGAAGGACAAACTACACTGTTTAAGAGCTGCCAAAAGTCCTTCTTGGTCAACATGTCAACCTCCAATCCTCCCATAATCACTCTGATTCTTGAAATTTCTCCCGGAGAACTTCTTTTTAAGACCTTTTATTAATCTCTGAGGGCTGTTGTAACAAATTACCATAAACTTGGCGGCTTTAAACAACAGAAGCTTATTCTCTTACATTTCTGAAAGCCAGAAGTTTAAAATCAAGGTGTTGGTTGTCAGGGCCATATTCTCCCTCTGGAGGCTCCAGGGTACAGTCCTGCCTTGACTCTTCCAGCTTCTGTCGGCTGTAAGTGTTCCTTGGCTTGGGCTGTGTACGTCCACTCTCTGCCTCTGTCTTCATGTGGCCTCTCCTCCTTCCCTCTGTGCTTCTTACAGGCACATTCGTCATTGGATTTAGGCCATCCCGAATAATCCAGAATAACCTCTTGGGATCTTTTACTTAAGAATATCGGCAAAACCCCTCTTTCAACTACGATAACAGTCTCAGGTTCTGGGGATTAGGTCGTGGATATGGCTTTTCATTGGGCAGCACAGCGTTCAGGAAAATGACAACAAGTAAACAAATAAGTGGATAAGTAATGACGATTGTGGCAACGGCTAAGATAGTAACTTGGAGTTCCTGCTGAAGGAGGGTGACTGGGAAACGGTCTGTGGTTGGCAGTATTTAACCTGAGCACTGAAGGATGAGAAGTAAAAGCAGGGGTTGAGGAAAGAGTGGGAACGGGTGTGTTGAATCCTGGGTTTTGTTTTAGATAAGCCTGAGAAACCTATGGTGTAAATAAGAGGAAAATACAAATAAGCCATTGGAAAAATTATAATCATTCGGTTCTGGGCAGACGAACCAGGCTAGAGATATAAACTGGGGTATCATTAGTTTCGGGATATATGATAGATAGCACTTAAGGCCAGGAGATGAATGTGATCATGTGAAGGAAAGAGAGTATATAGAAAAGAAAGTCCCAGACTGAACCCCGAAGTAACCCTGATTATTCCAACAGTCAGACAGAGAAAGAGCTAGCCAAGAGTTCTGAAATGGAATTGCTAACCAGACAGAAAACATTCCAAGGAGGCTGTTGTAACAGTCAACTATGCAAAATGCTACTGAGAGGTCAAGTTAGTTGAAGATGAAAAATGCCCGTTGGATTTGGTGAGATAGGAGGTCATTGGTTGGTGACGTGTGCTAGATGAGAAATGAAAACAAATGGAACACACCAATTTATAGACATTTGGATTTTTAATAAGGAAGAATAAGAAGATGAGTATGCATATGGTCAGGATTTATGTGAGAAGATGCACAAACTCCCCTCTGATGAATACTATTTTCTCAATGATGTATAGATTATAATACTCAACAGCTCAGAAGCAGATCAGAGGGTATGGAGAGGGCATTTGGAAAGAGGAAAGGAATAAAAAAGTCATCTTGGAGGGAAAGCGAGCGTACCAGGCAATTTCAAATCCCCATTTTAGATTTGTATTATTGGCAAAAAATAAAATAATAGCCTGGTTGTGTAAATTTTTTTAGCAATATTCAGCTGTACAGGAATGGAGAAGGCAGATACTTTGATTCAATTTGGAATCAAAATAGGATTTTTCAGATGAGTTAAATAGGAAAGAGAGAGACAACGGAGTTAATTGACTTTGCAAATGGTATGATTATATTTTTGCACCTGAGCTAGATAAGAAGGAAAGTGAGAACAGCATTCTGGTGGATGGTGGGTACATGTTGAGGCCACATGAACTGGCGATCTGAGTGAGGTGGAAGAATTGGTTCAGTGACTGGATTAAAGCAGATGAATGATGGATGAATCGGAAGTCATGGTTAGAGAATGGAAGTCTCCCAACTGAGATGTCATCGGTGGTGCACTTTCTGAAGATGGCAAAGTTTAATATGTGACCATGTGACAAGGGATTGGTTGAGGTAGAACAGAAAGAAAGCAGGACAAAAATTGACCCGCTTGTTGGCTTTTTGGCCACATGGATGTTGTCATTGCTAAGAATGGTGACAGGAGTTAAGAGAAGACCAAGAACAAGGTTTACAAGGAACAAGACACTGGGAGTTTGGTCGATGACTAAAAGGGAGTGATGAAGCCAACTACATCGCAGAAGCTTCAAGAAGCCAGCATCATTTTTTAGGGAGGATGAAGAGAAGTATTCTGGAACTAGTAATGGGCAATATATAAAGTATATGAAGTTCTCCCACCTTTTCGAGAGGGTTGTAAGGGAAATGGTGTATTCAGAAATAGTCACATTTTAGTTAAGACCAAAAGAGTGAAGGTAACTCTTAAAAGAAGAACTTTATTAACGCCAGATTTTTTTTTTAACAGACTTAAGCCAGATTGGGTTTTGAGAAGAGATAGCATCGAAGAAATCACAAATCCCCTGCAAGCTATTCAAATGGTGATGGATACACTTGGCATTCCTTATTAGTAAATGTAAACATTTTCAGTGTATAGTATAAAGAAATATTAAAGCTAATTATGAATATGTAGTGTTTTTTACTGTCTATATACAACTTTTTAAAATCTGACTTTGTATTAAAATTAAATACATAACAATTAAACTTTATTATATTCATTATTTCTTTTATTATTTAATATCTTTATGCATATAACAAACTAATATGTCATAAGATGATTATAATACTGTTATTCATGTTTATTATCTGAAAGTATTATATTAGTTTGAATATAATCATATTCCTAAGGGAAATAATACTTATTACCCCTGTTTTATAGGTAAGTTGAGACATTTTTATAAAACAAATGCTGGTAATTGAAGATTCTGTCTACTCACTAAGAAGTGAGAAGAGAATAAAATAATCCCACAAATGCCTAATAACAGCATCCTTATTTGTGCTCTTGACAGGCTAAAGCATCCAGATAGGCAGGTGCACCCCTATAGGGAAATTAAAAGAATGTAACCTGCCACTATATCTTCTAAAAATTCTTAACATTGAACTGATTGGGGTTATAATTTTTGAAGTGGGAGGCACATGGTATTGCTTGTCATGGAAGCTTGTCTAGTTACATACTATAGACCTGAAAGTGACTCAGGTTGAACATAACTTGCTTTGGGTCACTGTTACCAATGTCTGTCTGGTTGCAAAGCCCTAAAAGGCTAATTCTCGTGGCCATTTGAAATCTGATAGGGTCCCAAAGTCTGTCCGTGTATGGATACCATAAAAGTTTTAACTGTTCGAAATAAATCATTAGTAGCTAGAAATGGAGAGGCTGTGTACCTACTTAATATATAAATTCATTAGAGGAACTTAAGAATTTTAAACCTAATTTCTCTGAAATTGTCTGCTTATAATTTGGTTAGGATAGACCTAAGTATATTGGTGTGTTAAAGAATATATGGAAATTAACTGTGGAGATATTTTTATTTTCTTTTTTCTTTCTTTGTCAATAAAAGAGTTTTAGGAGCTCTTGGGACTCAGTATTTTCCAAAGAATGTATTTTTGGTTGACTCTTCCATTGCTTTGTTTTTCTCCTTCATTTAACAGAATTTTAGTATAAATAAATAATCTATTTACTTTGGTAAGTTATACTGCTAGGAAATAATTGACCAGTGTAAAAATGTTGTTGGTATTAATTTCCTCTAAGATGGATGTAACCAGTTAGTAGCTGCATAAAAAATATTTAGATGAAGTTATATTAAGTCTGTTCTCTTGATCTTTGTTTTCTATTCATCTCATCTGTTCTTTTCCCCCCTTTTTTGTTTTTTTCTCACCTTTTTGGATTAATCAAATAGTTTTTAACCTACCACAATCTATCTGTGATATCATACGAATTCCTATATAGTATAAGAACCTTATAGCAGTATTTATCTGTATTACAAATGCACGTTTCACGTCTGGAAGTTTATCGTATATATCTATATGCATGCAAAATGGCAGTGATGGTACTAAGATTCCAGCAATTTTCCAGTAATAAAATATTGGCAATAATTTTGTTACTCAACAAAAAATGAGGTTTAAATTATATAGTTAATTATATTAATATAATTATATTAATTATATATAAATTATACTAGAAGACTGGACTGATCAAAAAACATGAGAAATCAATTTATACATGAATGATCTCTAATATGTACTATTAAGTGAAAGGTAGGTAACCTTTGTGTATATATTCCCTTTGTATATACATAGTATAATTATGCAAAACACGAAGATATTGAGAACATTATTTGCCATCTAGACAGGAGAGCTGGGTGGCTAAAAGACAGGTGTGGAATGGAGACTTTTCCCTTTATACATTTTGAAGTTTGTACCATGTAAACATATTGACTTTTAAGAAAATTTTAAAATTATGTTGTCTAGGCCGGGCGCGGTGGCTCACGCCTGTAATCCTAGCACTCTGGGAGGCCGAGGCGGGCGGATTGTTTGAGCTCAGGAGTTCGAAACCAGCCTGAGTAAGAACGAGACCCCGTCTCTACTAAAAATAGAAGGAAATTAATCGGACAACTAAAAATATATACAGAAAAAATTAGCCGGGCATGGTGGCGCATGCCTGTAGTCCCAGCTACTCGGGAGGCTGAGACAGAAGGATCGCTTGAGCCCAGGAGTTTGAGGTTGCTGTGAACTAGGCTGACGCCACGGCACTCTAGCCCGGGCAACACAGTGAGACTCTGTCTCAAAAAAAAAAAATTGTCTAGTTGTATTCTTACCTAAAATAAAAGGGATTCTTTCAGCCTTAAAATTTTTTTTTTTTTTTTGAGACAGAGTCTCACTCTTTTGCCTGGGCTAGAGTGAGTGCCGTGGTGTCATCCTAGCTCACAGCAACCTCAAACTCCTGGGCTCAAGCGATCCTCCTGCCTCAGCCTCCCAAGTAGCTGGGACTACAGGCATGCGCCACCATGCCTGGGTAATTTTTTCCATATATTTTTAGTTGTCCGATTAATTTCTTTCTATTTTTACTAGAGACGGGGTCTCGCTCTTGCTCAGGCTGGTTTCGAACTCCTGAGCTCAAACAATCCGCCCGCCTCGGCCTCCCAGAGTGCTAGGATTACAGGCGTGAGCCACCGCGCCCGGCCTAGCCTTAAATTTTTGAAACATTAAATATACTTCCTAGTTTAGTTTGATTTTTAGATGATTTTTACACTTACTATATTTACTGAAATTAGTAGATACTAGTACCTTAATTGCTTACAAAAATAGATATTTAAATTTGATATCTCAACATATGTCTTATCTTTTTAAAAAGGACTCTCCTCTAACATTTGCTAGCTTTGTGATCTATGGCAAACCATTTCAACTTCAATACTCTCTAAGCTTCATTGTATTCTTTTGTAAAACTGAGCAATAAAAAGAGATAAAGTGCTAACACACACAAGTACATGGATGAATCCCAAAACACCATGCTGAGTAAGAGGCTACAGTGGTCTGAATTTGCCTCAGGATGAATCAGACTATCTCAGTTTTACTCATATCGGATTTAAATGATACTTCGATAAGACTCTGAACGTTAGACTTCCAAACTGATACTGGAACAAGTTAAGACTTTTGGGGCTACTGGGATGGAATGAATGCTGTCTTAGTCTGTGTTGCTATAAAGGAATACCTGAACCTGGGTAATTTATAAAGAAAAGAGCTTTATTTAGCTCATGGTCCTACAGGCTGTGCAAGAAACATAGTGCCAGCATCTGCCTCTGGGGAGGGACTTGAGCTGCTTCCATTCATGGCAGAAGAGGAAGGGGAGCTGTTACATGCGGATCATATGGCAAGAGAGAGGGGGAGAGCTGCCAGGCTCTTTTTAAAATCAGTTCTCATGGGAACTAAGAGTAAGAACTCACTCATTCCTGCAAAATGGCACCAAGCCAATCATGAGGGCTCTGCCCCCACAATACAAACACACCTCACTAGGTCCCACCTCCAACCGTGGGGATCGAACTTCAACATGAGATTTGGAGGGGACAAATATTCCAACTACATCAAATGCATTTTGCATGTGAGAAAAATATAAATTTTGAAGGGCCAGGGCAGGAATGCTGTGGCCTGAATTTTTGTGTTTTCCAAAAATTCATATGTTGAAATGTGATTCTTAATGAAATTTTATTAAGAAATGGGGCCTCTAGGAAGTGATTAGATTGTGAGGGCAAAGCCCTCATGAGTGGGATTAATGACCTTATATAAGAGGCCTGAGGAACCTGGCGTCATTTCCACCATGTGAGGACACAGAAGACACCATCTGTGAGGAACAGGCCCTCACCCTTGATTCCACTGGCCCCCAATCTTAGACCTCCCCACCTCTAGAACTGTGAGTGATAAATTTCTATTGTTTACAACTTAGCTAGTCTAAGGCATTTTGTTATGACATCCAGAATAGACTAAGACAAGCCTTACAAGAAAGAGTACTTGTATTTTTCCATTTATACAAGAGGACATGTATTAGTAAGGAAGATAAGCAAGCATCAGGATTTAAGTCAGGAAGGAAAAAGCTAACTACCATTTTGTGCAAATGCAGTCAGATTTATGGTCAAGACTGCCCTTATCTATAAAGCAGCTAACCCCTGGTCTTTTGGTTGCATAATAAGGCCTGGACAACAAGAAGCCTTTCTCTGAATGGGTTCCATTGATGCTTTGTCCCTGAAGTCAGGAATACCTTGCCAGTAAGAAACCGCCTATCAAAATTCTTTCGATAATGGACAATGGCCCTGGTCACCCAGAACCCCGTGAGTTCAGCACAAAAGGTGTAGAAGCAGTCTACTTGCCTCCAAACACATCATCTCTAATTTAGCCTCTAGATCAGGGTGAAAAGGCTCGTTATACATGATGCTCTATGGAAAGTATTGTCAATGCTTTGGAAGGGAATCTCAATAAAGAAAACATCATTAAAGTCTGGAAGGAGTACACCATTGAAGATACCATCATTATAGAAAAAGCTGTGACAGCCATCAGTCTTAAAACAATAAACTCCTGCTGGAGAAGACTGTGTCTAGATGTTGTGGCTGACTTCACAGGATTTATACAGAGCCAACCCAGAAAATCATGAAAGAGATTGTTGATACGGCCAAAAAAACAAAAGTGGAGCGTGAAGAGTTTCAAGATACGGATTTTGGAGAAATTCAAGAACTAATTGAGGCCACACTGGGAGAAGTGACAGATGACTTGAGGCAGGTGAGTGCTTCTGAACCAGCGCCAGACGACGAGGAAGAAGACAGAAGCAGAGCCAGAAAACAAACTGAGAAGGGTTCTGATTATTCAAGACAGCTTTGACTTCCTTTACGACATGGGCACTCAAACTAAAGCAAATGGCAGAAACATTTTTAGAGAAATGAAAAAGCAAAAAGTTCAGAAATTATGATGTATTTCATAAAGTTGCCCTGAGTGTGCCTGCCTCTCCTGCCTCCCCTTCCTCCTCCTCCACCTCTTCCGACTCTGCCACCCTGAGACAGCAAGAGCAGCCCCTCCTCTTCCTCCTCCTCCTCAGCTCACTCAATGTAAATGTGATGAAGATCAAGACCTTTCCGATGATTCACTTCCACTTAATGAGCTGTAAATATGTTTCTCTTCTTTGTGATTTTCTTAATAATATGTTTTTCTCTAACTTCATTGTAAGAATATGATATATAATCCATATACCATGCAAAATATAAATCAACTGTTGATGTTATTAGGCTTCCGGTCAACAGCGTATTAATAGTTAAGTTTTTGGGAAGTCAATAGTTACATGAAATGAATTTTGATTACAAAGGAGTCAGTACTCCTAACCCCCCAACCCCCCACATTGTTCAAGGGTCAACTCTATGAACAGCAAATGGCATATTATACAGCCTTAAAAAAGAAGAAAATCCTGCCATTTACAGCAACGGGGATGGACCAGGAGGACACTAAAAGAAGTGAAATCGCCAGACACAGAAAGACAAGTACTCTCTGCTCTCATTTGTATGAGGAACCTAAAATGGTCAAGCACAAAGAAACAGCAGAATGGTGGTTGCCAGGAGCTGGGGGAAGGGGAAAATGCAGAGGTGTTGGTTAAAGGATACAAAGGTTCAGCTATGCAAAATAAACTATGGAGATCTAATACTAAAAGTTAAATTAATTGAAGCATATAAAAATTAATAAGAAAACTTTAGTAAAATTTTAATAGCAGAATCCAGGCAGAGGTTTTGTTTGAAAATTTTCAAATTTAAAAATCTTTGAAAAAAGCAGATGCTATGTTGTTTTCCTAAATTTTAAATTACTCAAATTTTCATGAACAGTAGAATGGATAGATAATTTGTGGCGTATTCACAGAATGGAATACTATATAGAAAAGGATCTACTACACGCCAAAATATGGATGAATCTCAAAAGCAAAATGTTAAACAGAAAGAGCCAGACATAAGATAATATATATGACGTGATTCCATTTTTGTAGTATAAAACCAGGCAAAACCGATTTATGCTGTTAGAAGTCAAGCTAGTGTTTAACGTGGGGGTGAGTGTAGGCAGTGGCTTGGAGGGGGATTTTGAGTTGCTGGTATATTCTGTTTCTTGTTCTGGGTTCTGGATTCATGCGTGTGTTCAGTTTGTGAGAATTCTTATGGTATGTGTACTTTTCTGTTAATATGTTACATTCTAATAAAAAGTTACAAAATTAAAATAATAGCTCCTACTTCACAGTATTATTTTGTACTTTAAAACTCATTAACATGTAAGCTTCATGAGGGCAACAATTTTAATTCTTTTTTTTTTACTGCTAAATACCCCACATAGTGGACATTCAAAATGTTTTCCATAAATGAATGACAGTATAGCACAGTGCTTATCTCACTGCCTGCCACAGAGTTCAAACTCTAAATGTTAAACATTGCTATTTTTAATAATACTGTCCTATCATTTCTTGAGACAACCAAAGCCATTTATCTCTTTAAGGAGTGCAAGCTAGGCAACAACATATTTTAATATCGGGTATCCTTTATCTCATGTTCCTAAGTTCATCTCTCCACATAATCAATATCAGTAGAGATCAATAGCCACGAATGAACTTTGCTCTATGAACTTACAATAGAGAGTTAAGGTTCAACATTTACCCTTTTTATAATGCAGTCTGTGTTAATTATTTATTCTGCTGCTATTGTTGCCCTTATTGGTTATCATGTTCTTATTGGGCTCTGACATGAAAAGTAATGTCAATTAATATAGTTGTGCCATTTTAACATTATTTGAAAATATTTTAAGTGAAATATAAGGCTTGTTACAAAGGGACTTAGACATATGCTGTAAATTATTAACTTTTCTTTCCAAGAGAAGTATTATGTACTTAATGACAAGGCCCTAGTGCTTTAGAATTGTTAAAATCTTTATGAAGCACATCACTGAAGATGAGGTTGAAAAACTTGGCTTTTATCATCATATTAATAATCCCAGGAGAACTCTATGCAGAAGGTAAAATTAATTCCTAATATCCTTTATTTTCTATAAATGGAGATTCAAACATTCATGCAACTTGAGTTTTAATATACCCTTTCATTTTGATATATCAATTTTATAACACATACTTTTTATAAAGATTATTTGTTATAATATTTAGACAGAACTTTTCCTTTGAGCAAAACTGGTAAACTATTCTTTTAGTAGCATAACTCAGAAAAACAAAACAGAATGAAAACCCTTTGAATCTCTGTTTTGAAGCATAGGAGACTAGGATCTAAATACTAAAAGGTTTTCAGGCTAACAATATAGCCATTCATATGTTAACCTTAATTCTAGCTTCATTCCCAATACTGACAAAACTTGTACAATTTAAGTTCTCTTTTCTTAAGGAGAGAGTTTAATGTGGGAAATTTGAAAAAGAAATAACCATAAATCATCAGCAAGATTTTCTACTCTTGATACTTTGATTTTTATCCCAGTTATTCTTTGGTTGGAGTCATTAGTAGTGATTAGTAGGAGGACTATATAAATGATTATACAAAACGGGACACTTTTGAGAGTAAAATGGGTGCTCTCTTAAGAATTACGTTTGGAAAACAGGTGTAAATTAGGACTGTCCAGACAAATCAATACCTATGGACTCCCGAACTATTAGATATCTTTAAAACCAGACTGTCTAGTGTGTAAGATTAGTGTGAGAGTGAAAGGTAGGCAGTGCAAATGTGTGTTATTTGGGAACAATAACAGTATTATTAGGCTGTAAGGTTAAAAATCCAGGGAGCTCATTTAGCATCAGCAAGAGTGAATATACAAATTAGGAAACCACAGCAATAATGCTTTTCTGAAATAAACATTTTAGAGAATTTGTTAAGGGAAAATATACAAGTTATAATTGCCCTTTAATTGAATGCTTTACTACAAATTTTCTACCAAAAAAGGCCCGCAATTAAAATTATGAAAGTGAAATAAATAGAAGTCAGCTTATTTGATACTTTTGATTCTATAATAGGATAATTCTTGCATGAATAGTTTCCTTTGATTTATTTTTGTGTCTAAATAGGGAAATACCAGCTAATATAATTGTCTATTATCTATACCATGAAGACATTGTAATATTCTAGCTAATTTTCTAATTATGGTTACAGTCTTATTTCATACAAACAAGAAAGTCTAAGCTGCTTGAAGACAGAGACAATGATCTCATTTTCACATGCTTTCTCCAACCCCATTGGGAACGTCAGGGGCAAGAACTGAATTAATTACACCTTTCATTTCGTGGTATGCAATCATTATTGGCCTATGAATGGTTTCACTCTTGCTTTATTTATACATTTTCTCCCCTTATCCCCGATCATGTATCCAATTTCTCCTGGGGCACACTATAATGTTTTGATGTGTTCTTAAATATGCAAATACTTTTATAAAATATGTCTTGTTCTGCGTATGTGTTTTATATTCACATAAATGGAAACTTGCTGTAGGGTTTATCTTCTTATTGTTTTATTTTACTTCATACTGTTTAAATATATTTCCATGTTGCTGACACTATTTTGCTTTTAACTGCTGCCTAGTGTTTCATGTATCCACTCTTCCAATGATGGACACATAGTTACTCCAATTCTCTCTTAACCAAAAATAACTCTGAAATGAATAGTATAATATAATCACCTTATTTCTCTATAGAATTTCTTTAGCCTGCATTCACTCACAGGCGGGGTTATCGGGTCAACTCTTGTACTTGATTTCTGTGCGTAGTGACATCCTACTTTTGCAGAATGGCTACTTCACAGCATATAGTCTCCAACAGAGGATGCGACTTGTTGCTTCCATTATCCTCACTTACCAACACTTAATATCATCCATTTTTGTACTGTTTGCCAAGCTGTTCATAAAGTGATACGCCATTTTTATTTATTTTCCACTCTCTGATTCCTAATATGTTTATACATCTCTTCATATACTTTTTTAGATATTCAAACTTCTGTGATTTATTATAACTGATTAGCATTTTCCTTTGCTTTTTGCTTTTTAATAGCTGATTTGTGGAAATTCTTTGTAGACTATAAATTTTAACTTCTTGCCAATTTTGGACATTGCAAATTCCTTCTTCTAAAACATTACTATGTGTGTGTTTCATTGCCAATGACTTTCATTGAAAGACAGCCACAATTTTTTTTTTTTTTTTTTGAGACAGAGTCTCGCTCTGTCGCCCTGGCTAGAGTGCAGTGGCATCAGCAGCAGCTCACTGCAACCTCAAACTCCTGGGCTCAAGCGATCCTCCTGCCTCAGCCTCCCAAGTAGCTGGGACTACAGATGCACACCACCACACCCAGCTAAGTTTTCTATTTTTTGTGGAGACGGGGTCTTGCTCCTGCTCAGGCTGGTCTTGAACTCCTGACCTCAAGCCATCCTCCCCGCCTTGGCCTCCCAGAGTGCTAGGATTACAGGCATGAGCCAAATTTTGGTATAATCAAGTCATCAAATTTTGCCTTATGGTTTCTGCTTTTTTCCCACACCTCTGAATTATGCAATGTGAATAGTGCCTCCGGAATTGTGCTACATAGGGGCTCTAATGTCATAAAGCAGGAATTTTTAATTTTATATTTTAGTGTACTTACTAGTTCTTTGGTTACAATCATTCTATTTTCTACATTTAATGGGTTATTTATATCAATTGTTATATTTTCATACTCAGTATTTCTACTTGTTTCTTCTTTATAGTCATTTATTCCTGATCTATACTATCAGTATCTTTCCTTGTCTACTTAAAGATATTCATTGCGAAGTCTGAAGTTCTCCATCTCTCTGTTCCATTAATTTTGCTCCAGCTGGTATTGCTCGTCCAGTTTGCTGACTTTCTGTTATTGTGGTGGAGCCCCTCGCACTCTTATCAATTTTTCTCATGGATTCATTCATTCATTCATTTTTCTCATGCCTCATCCTCCGAGGCATTCCAGCTACCTGGACAGGTGATGTGCCTGTCCTGGTGGTGGAGGGACGGGGAGTCTTTGAAGCCAAACCTAGGATTGCCCACGAGTTTGCCGCCCCTCCCTGACCAGCACCTGCACTCCTCGGGGAACCTCCTTGTGTGTTCACGTAGCACAGCTATGTTTTTTTCTTCATTGTAAATTCCTAGTGCTTTGATATGGAGAATAGTGAAAAGAAATCTCAGGGAATGGGGACTATTCTGCACAGGTTCTTTTGTCTGCTCCTCTGCTCTGCCTTATGCTGGAAATTTTCTTATGCATCATTCCATGCCCACTTCCCTCAGACCTGGGCTGGCACCGCTATTACTTTATGTTTCATGCAAGCATTATCGTAAGCAGTGATCAGCCCAGGCACTGAAACCAGAGTAATCCCACTGGCTCCCGGCCTCTTCCACCCGTGACTACTGTTTCTTTCCAGCACAACTCTTAGGTTTTCTTATTTTTAAGCATTTTTGTGATTTTAAAATCTTCAATATAAAAATAGATTTTAAAATAAATGTTTTGTTTGGAGTATGACATTAATGTACAGAAAAATGTAAAAATCATAAGATAAAGTTCTATAAATTTTTGTAAAACTTTACACCACTGAGATCAAGATATAGAACCTTAACGGTACCTCCTAAATCATCCCACTAAGGCAATAAACCCCAAAAGTGACCTTTCTGAATTCTATTATCATGGATTAGTTTGTCCTCTTTTAAAACTATGGGAATGTATACAATAGCTCATGTGTGCCTGACTTCTTTCACTCAATGTTAGGTTTGTGAGATTCACCATTCATTTGTTTTGCTATATATTGTTCCATTGTATGCATAGTCTAAAATGTGTTTATCTTTTCTACCATTAATGGGTATTTAGATTGGTTCCAATCTGGGGCTATATGAATAGTGCTGCAATGATCATACTTTTACTTTGTCTCTGGGTGCACAAATGTATGCATTTTTGTCGGGTAATATGGTATGTACATGTTTTGCCTTTATAACTATTGCAAAAGTATTTTCTCATAGAGATTGTACCAAATTATTCTCTCACTTATAGTAGTATGAGAGTTGGTGAGAAAAAAAAGAATGTAAAATATTTTTAATATATTGTGTCAAATAAAATCTATTATTAAAATTAACTTTAAATGTTGCTTTTTACTTTTATTAATGTGATTATTAGACATTTTTAAATTATACATATAACTTGCATTATATATCTATTAGAAAGTGCTGTTCTCACAAAGTCAGGGAAAGTTCCCCTGAGAAAGTAGCCTGCCCAGTTTTATTCCAGCTGATATTTGTTTAGAGTCATTTTATGATTGAAAAAGAACAGGAATGCTTGGATTCTCACGGAAGCAACTTAAAAATTTAAGTACTAGTTGAAGTGTCTGCAAAAACTTTTAATGAAAAAAAGTATTTTCACTTGATCACAAATTTTATGCTCTTAGATGTGTTTTTCCATTTTCAGCTTGATATTTACTCATTTCAGAGAAACCCTGTGGTTTTCCTCATGTGGAAAATGGAAGGATTGCCCAATATTACTATCCTTTTAAAAGTTTTTACTTTCCAATGCGCATAGACGAAAAATTGTCGTTTTTCTGCTTGGCTGGTTATACAACTGAAACTGGGAAACAAGAAGAGCGAACCACATGTACGGCAGGAGGCTGGTCTCCGGCCCCAAAGTGCTTCAGTAAGTCAGCTGCATGTGTCCAACGATGGCTGCAATACTCAAAAAAATTAGTTTATAAAAATAAGAGTCGAATAAAATATGGAAAGTGGTTAAACCTTTTTAGTAGAGAAGGACAAAATTACTGGTAAACTGTCTTTTTACAAAACAAAGGCATACTTTGAAATTCTGTAAATAATGCTTTGACATTAAAATGTTATTTTCTTCATTTGTTTTTAATAATACCCCATGAAGGGGATAGGGCCACAACTGAAATTTTTATTTATTACATTGGAAGGGACATAGATGTAAGGTATTTACTTTAAAGAATGAGGAACTTACATGGAAAATTATGCATAGGAAAGTCAGAAAAATGCTCAAGACACTGGCCTCAGGAAGGACAAGCTTGCTGCTCTAGAGCTTTATCATTTGCAAGACTCATCTCTCCTTAGTGTGCCAACTTCTTTCATAATATCCATTGCAAGATGTGTTTATCTGCATTCTGAGTTCAAATTTGTGAGAAGGTAATCCGATTGGTTCGTCTCATTATTTTATGTCAGGCTATACTCTCGTCAGGCTACCAATTGGCTTCCATTGGGTCAAGTGACCTTTCTTGAGCTAAGAGTATCCTAAGCTCCGTTTTCCAGAGTGAGGGGCTTTGGCTGAGTCAGTTTCATTTAGAAGAGGAAGTTGGCTACAGTGGTTACTGTGGGTGAAATATCCAGTAAACATGTCTAAAAGTAGATGTGGTAGGAGCAACTATCATGATTAAAATTAGTAAATACAAAGAAAGTCAAGGTCAAATCCATTTTCAGAAAAACTTTATGCAGATATTTCCAAAATTAAGTTAAATCAAGAAATTGTGGAATGAAAATTATGTCTTCTCTCTCTCTCTCGCCTTCATATTCCAGCTAAGAATAGTATACTTTAGTCTTAATTTTACAACTTAGTGAAGGACAAGCTTAATTTTACCATTAAGTTAAGCAAATAAATATTTTTTCCCCATAGAAAAATGCACAAAGCCTGACCTGGAAAATGGTTACTTCCCTGACGGAAAAGTGGTGTACAAAATTCAAGAGAACATGCGCTATGGTTGTGCTTCAGGATACAAAACCGCTGGAGGGAAGGATGAAGAAGTGGTTCAGTGTCTCTCAGATGGGTGGTCTTCTCCACCAGCCTGCAGGAAGGAACACGGTATGAGCATAAGAGTCATTTCCTAAAACTGAAGATAAGAGCTGATGAGCTAGTACTTTCTTATGTTGATAGGTATTTTTATTTAACATAATTTATTTTTCATGACGTCTGCAAATGCAGGAAGTTGATATTGCATTGCTTTTCTCAAATGCTACGTGTTTTCTTAATCCAAGGGTTCTCAATCCTTACAACACACCTACTCCAATAGTTCCTACTTTGTACTAATATTAATAAAAAAGAATTGGAATATAATAAAATCAAAGAACTTTAATAAACTTTTTTCTGCAACATCTATAAATCACTATTTCCTTTATTACAGAAGAATTCAAGATCATGCACATTATTTTATTATTATTGTAAACCAATGTCAGCTATACTTAAAAACAATTCAATAGTTCAAATATTCATACTTGGTTAATGTGTCGTATGCTGTTTAAGTTGTACAACTCCATAAAGAGCACATATTCAAAAACATCACTACTGCACAAGCCCTCAGTTGAACGGCGGCCTTTGGGGAAGCGCGGTGGACTAGAATTTTAAGAATAGAAGACTGGCAGAGTTAGGTCACAAGGAGCCTCTTTTCCAGTTTTGCCAGGGGTTGATTCTGCCATGTAGTTTTAAGATTGAGTTCAAATATATTTTGAGATTTCTTTTTAATATTCTAGGACATTAACAATTTTATGAGCTCATAAAATAAATGACTTTAATGTTTTTAGAAACATGTTTGGCCCCTGAATTACATAATGGAAATTATTCTACAACACAGAAAACGTTCAAAGTGAAGGAGAGAGTGCAGTACGAATGTGCTACCGGCTACTACACAGCCGGAGGGAAGACGGCGGAGGAGGCAGAGTGTCACTCGTCCGGATGGTCTCTCACGCCACAGTGCACCAGTAGGTCCTCCTTCTGCACAAAATCTCCCTTCACTCTGAAAACTGTCTCATACAGAAGTGTATATAAGTTGTCGTGCTAATTATGTTCCATTTTTCATACTTTTTTTTTTTGCTTCTGGTTTTCATTATGTTGATAGTAGCCTTTGATCATTTAAAGCTCTCAAGTTGGAAAAATTCATTTTAGCTCACAGAATTAAATTAGAATAAGCTTAATGATATTTAATATATACAATGAATTCATAAGCTTTTATTCTTTAAAACAAATATGGCAAATTGTATTAGTTTCTACTCTAGATATGGCATGTAAGTACTAAGTAAATTTTGTTCTAGCAGAAAAAATAATTGTCTTTACATTTTTATCCATTCTTTCATTTTTAGAACTAAAGTGCTCTTCTTTGAGATTAATAGAAAATGGTTATTTTCATCCTGTAAAGCAAACCTATGAAGAAGGAGATGTAGTACAGTTTTTCTGTCATGAAAATTATTATCTAAGTGGATCTGATTTAATTCAGTGCTATAATTTTGGTTGGTACCCAGAATCGCCTGCATGTGAAGGTAAATGTTTAAATTTCACACTCACAAATAGAATATCACGTCTTTGTCAGCTTTATTCTCTAAGAGCTCTGGAAGTAACTAGACCCAATTACCCTAATCCGGTAGTTTGTGAGGACACTTTCTCTTAATTGGCCGCAAGTTTCCTGATGTGAGAATTCAATCTCTAAAATAGCCCGATGGAGAGCAGAAAAAGCAGAGGCATATTCCCCACAAGTGAAAACTGAAAACGAGGTCATCTAGTAAAAGCTACCCAAACATGTAATCGCTGTAGTCACATTTCTGTCGCTGGATGTATTCAAGCAGGTGGTATGATTGGTCGTTAGAAGACACCAACTCAAACACGCCAACCGTATAGTGTGAAGAAGGTCCTAGTCTAGCAGAGGAACAGATGAGAAAAAACAGCTGCTATGGTGTGGCAAACGGTTTAATGAAATCGGGTGCTAAGTGCTTGAATAAACGTCAGAGATTCTGATTGGTATGTTGTGGAATAACATTCACAGAGGTGATGGGTGATATTTGAACTGGACCTTAAAAGATAAATAGGAGTTTGAGGATGGGGAGGACGGGGAGAGAGGCAAAGGGCTTTTGTGTGTGATACAGGATATAACGTCAGGACTGACAGGCAGGTGAGACATGGAAGTGGAACTGGGAAGAGAGCAGGACCAGTGAAACAGCTGCTAGGAGGAGTGAGAGAGGGAGCAGACCGGGGTGTGCCAGCATTGCCTGGAACTCTCTTAATTCCCTAAATGCACTGAACTCACTTAATGGCTTCGTGACTTTCCAGTCCTGCTCAACAGTCTTGGTGTAACAGCAGACAGGAAGATTGTGAGCAATTTTTCTGTAGCATATTATTCCAAAAATAAGCGGCAGACCTATCTCACACCTATTACTCAGCCCCTCTTCCCTCCAAATTCGCCAACATACCAACATGCCTGTTACCTGCTCTAGTAAACAGTCATTACACGCAGGAGACGCAGTGTAATCAGAAGGACGATCCCCCTTCTCCCCAAAGATATCATATCCTAATCTCCCGCATCAGTAAGTGTTACCTTATGTGGCAACAGGAACTTTGCAGTTAAACATTGTGAGGCAGGAGTATTATCTGGGATTGTCCACTTGATCCTAACTGTGATCACAGATGTCCTTAAGAAAGGGAGCCAAAGCGAGACGTGACGATGGGAGCAGCAGGTGGGAGTGACGGGAGGAAGGGGCCGTCAGCCTGGGAACAAGGCAGCTTCCAGGAGCTGGAAAAGGCAGAGCAGCCGATGCTCCCCCAGAGCCTCCCGACACCTCGACGTTAGCCCAGTGAGACCGATTTTTGACTTTTGGCCTTGAGAGGAGAATAAATCTGTGTTGTTTTAAGCCACTAAATTGTGACAACCTGTCACAGCAGCAGGAGGAAACTAACACAGCCAGTATTTTAGAACAGGAGATTTTAATTCCGGCAGATACGGATTCAAGAACAGATCCCCCACCTGCTACTGATTCACTCATACGTTTTAGTTTCCTTATCTGTAACAGGAGAGAATGATAGCTCCTGCTTAGTAAAGTTATTTTAGGACCAAATGACTCATAAGACAATGAATGTAAAATGCTTGCTGCTTTCGTTTTCTGCTGGTGCCTAACAATGTTACGGAGACTCAGCAGCTCAAAACAACCCACAAGTACAATTTCACAGCTTTTGTAGGTCGGGAGTCTGGGCATAGTATAGTGGCCTCCTCTGCATCATTGTCTAACAAAACTGCCACCAAAGTGTCATCGGAGGCTTATAAGTGGCCACGATCTCCTTCCCAGCTCACTGTGGTCGTTGACAGCATTCAGTGCTTTGTGGCTGCTGGACCCAGAGCCTCAGTTTCCTGCTGGTGTTGGCTGGGGGCAGCCTCTGCCCCTGGCCTGTGGCCTCCCCATGCAGAAGCTCCCAGGGGGGCAGGTGCTTCTTCAGAACCATCAGGGAGGGAAAGTCTCTCGGCAGGAGTGGCGGCACAGGTCGGGTGCATCGCCCTGTGCATGGTCACGTACAGATGCATCGTCCTTGCTGTGTTCTGTGGGCCGGAGGCAGGGCCCGGGTCCCACTCACGGACAGGAGGGGACCCTCAGGGGGAGGGGACCGAGCGGTGCTCCTAGAATCTGTCTGCCATCCTTCCACGGTGCTTGGCACCGTGACCACTGCTATCAAGTCTTTATCATTTTTTGTAGTTATCTGACTGAATATGCTGATATTTTTCCATAAGGAAGAAGAAACCGATGCCCGCCCCCACCTCTGCCTCTGAACTCCAGAGTCCAAACGCATTCAACAACTTACCGTCAGGGAGAAACAGTTCGCGTAGAATGTGAGCCCGGCTTCGAGATCCAGGGCTCTGCGGAAATACGCTGCGAACGCGGAAAGTGGGCGGACCCTCCCAGGTGCATCGGTCAGTCACCCCTCGAACGAGCCCCCCCGCGCCGCCACCGCGCGCGGCTGACGGTCTCTTCTCTTGGCCGCGCCCTTGCAGAGGGAGAGCAGAGCACCGCCTGCCAGGCCCCGCCCGCCATCCGGAACGGCGCAGCGGGCCCGCGCTCCGAGACCCACCGCGACGGGGACACGGTGACCTACAGATGCGAGCCCGGCCACCGCCTCCGCGGGCCCAGTGCGATAACGTGCCTCCGAGGACAGTGGACGCTGCCCCCCGAGTGTGTCGGTGCGTGCGCGGCGCGTGTCGCCAGCCGCTAAGCCTGGGTGCCCATTGCTCGTTGCGGGCATTGAGTCCGCACACTCACTGCAAGAGACCGCAGCTCAGGGGAGCCAGAAACACGCTGCCACTGCGCCCGCCCTGCCCTTTCTTGTGTGTTTGGAGCCACCTGTAGGATTTCAGCCGATGTAAAGAATTTGCAAATTAGAAAAAAAACCTATTTGAATGCGTTAGTGGGAGGCGCTGCTGTCTCACCTGCCAGCCTTACCTGACAGCGCTTCAGTGGCGATGAGCTTCGTTAGAGGCGTAAGGAAAGTGCTGGGTTGAGTGACTGGCCGTGAGCATGGCCTGCTAATACCTCTTCTCCCTCTGTGCCCCGCAAAGGATGGAGAGTGCTAGAGCACAGGCACCTTTCTCTGTCCCTGACGCTGAGTCAGCCCTGCTGTCAGTTTGCGCTGGCCCTTCTGACCCTACACCCTCTGAGACAGGTCCCTGGTCTTTCGTTTCACTGAAGAAAACCACCAGGCTGCACTGTCACTCCCAAGTGCTACGCTTCCTGCCATCCTTCTCATTTCCTGACCAGATTAGAGTGATTTCCGCAGATGTGTTCATCTAGGATATTTATTGCACAAGACGAAAGTTACGAAGGATGCTAAAGAAATTAGTCACGTAAGAGAAAGATATTAAACAGAGAGAGAGAAAAGACGGATATTTCATCCATGGGTTGATGGAGACCTGAGATGAAGAGGAAAGAGAAGGAAGAAAATAAAAGTGGTTAATGCCAAGTTTTAGACTTGACCATAAGCTCTAGGTTGAAGAACATAGTTTCCCTTTCTATAGATTTTAAGAATATCTATTAATATATCTTAATTCCTTCACCATCAAGAAAAGAGAAAGTATGTGCATAACTTGTTCTTAGGCAAAACGTTTGCCGTTTATTCTTGCTTAGCAGATTTTTAAAATGTTTAAGCTGAATAACATTTCTCTCATTTCTGGTGAATTTAGAAATCAATTGTCCTAAATTATATAGCACAAATATTGAGATACTATAGTATGCATAATTATATTCTATCATTATATTGTTATGAGCTCATATTAATTTTAAAACAACCTCTTTTCTTAGAAAACAATGAGAACTGTAAGCCTCCACCTGATATAATAAATGGAGCTGTCGTGGATGGGTTGCTGGCAAACTACACAGCAGGGTCCTCGGTGGAATACAGATGCAACGAATACTACATACTGAGAGGGGCGAAAACATCGCATTGTGATCAAGGAAAATGGTCCTCCCCGCCGCCTGTTTGCTTGGGTAAGAGAGAGAACACACTCAATATCTTTTCCTGCTACACTTTTATTTTTGTGTGATTTTTCTTACAATGTTTTATAGCATGGAAATGATGACTTTTTAAGAATCTTTTTTTTCTAAGTGTTTTCTCCTCTCATCTCTTCAAAGTAGAAAATCTCTAATATCTTAGTGTCTAGGATTGCTTTAGCTCCTACCCCATTACATTTTATTGTGTTAAAATATACATAACATACAATTTAACATTTTAACCATTTTAAGTGTGCAATTCAGCAGTGGCATCATCTATAACATGGTCACATTTTTGTGACCAGTTACTTTTTGTGTTGTCTTTCTCCTCACTGAAATGTCCCCCCTAACGTGTCCCTCAGTGTGTCTGCTTGTACCACCTTCAGAATGTATTTGGAGAAAAGAATAATCAAGCCAGTTCTTCCTGGTAAAGCCTATTGCTAATACCTTCTCTGCCCACACACACATACTCCATGAACATGCCATCATACCCTGCAGAGGTTATATATCTCGGTTTTTGTTACATAAAATATATTATAAATGTGATTCGTTATACTTCTGCTATATATTTTCATGGCTGCATAGTATTCCATAATGCAGATACACTGTAATTAACCTAATCACTTTATTGATGGATGTTTAGTGTTCAACCTTTTTATATTCCAAACAGTACATTTTGTAACTAAATACTTATTCATTTTAAAGCCTTTATTTTTTATTAAAAATTAACTATATTTATTTTGTCCACGTTTTATTTTCTTATTATTTTTCAGATTTTCTGAAGCAGAACTTCCAGATCATGAGATTTAGAATTTTAATTTTTTTCTATTAATTGTAAAATTATCAGAGTTTATTCTGGTTTTTGACCCTACCATAAATAGATTAAAGTAGTAGTTGTCTTAATCTTTGTCAACTTTAAATACTTTAATGTTGATGTTTTTTATTAATTCAGTAAGCATTTATTTGATTTATTTAAGTATTAGTTGTGCATTTTCAATTTTCTAGTGGCTACAGTTTATTCATGAGTTGATTGTTCATAGTTTAATCATTTTTCATATTCATAAGATCTATATCTATATAAATTATATTATACACTTCAGAATCATGTATGTTATAACTATTTTTTAATTTTCTTTTTCTTTTTATTTAGGATGTTTTTAAGTATACATAAATTTTAAAGTTTTCAAAGAGCTCAAGTCTTAGATCTTGAGCTCTTTCAACCTTTCATTTGTGGCTTCTGCCACAATGTAAGTGCTGTTCCCATTCAAATCCAGATACATTTGCACCTGTAAATTTTCTATTGCTCTCACGTTTTCGTGTGTTTGATATTAAGTTTTTGATGGTGTGATTGAAATTGCATTGAATGGAAATACAGGAATCTCTGAGGATAGAGACTGGATTAAAATATTAATGGAAAAGCTAGTAATGAAACAACCTCATAAGGAATAACGAGGTTTAAAGAAATATTTTATTCTGTATCTGGAATGATTGTCTCGAGCAGTCAGGCATGGTGCTAAGGAATCAAAGCAAATACTGAGTGAAGATCCATCACTGTCCTCAGTGCCTCTCGCTTATCCATTGAAATCTGAAGGACAAATCTGGACAACAGTGTGATATGGCATAGAATTTTCCATCTGTGAATTATCAGTCCAGACATTATAAATCTCTCTAACCTCTCCCTACTCGTCTTCCCTGCTCTCACTCTACTCTAGGCACTCTGGTCTCTTTGTTCTTCCTCAAACAAGCTAAGCACGTGCTAACCTCAGTGTCTTTGCACTGGTTGTTCCCTCTGCCTAGAACGCTCTTCCATCAGAAAATGTCATGGCTCCCTCCTCAACCTTCTTCAAGTTTTTGTGCAAGTATCACTTCTTATTTAGGCCTATTCCCATCACCTTAAAGTGCAACCTCCCTTCCCCCAGCCCTTTTGATAGCATCTCCCATTCACTACTCTTTTTTTCTTTTCCTTCTTTTTTTTTTTTTTTTTTTGGACAGAGCCTCTCTCTGTTGCCCAGGCTGGAGTGCAGTGGTGTGATCATAGCTCACAGCAACCTCAAACTCCCAGGCTCAAGCGATCCTCCCCGCTCAGCCTCCCGAGTAGCTGGGACTACAGGCATGTGCCACCGTGACCAGCTAATTTGTCCTATTTTCAGTAGAGACAACAAGAGCAAGAGATGTCCTTGCTCAGGCTGGTCTCAAATTGCTGAGCTCAAGTGATCTTCCTGCCTCAGCCTCCCAGAGTGCTAGGATTACAGGAGTGAACCACCACGCCCAGCCCAGTCTTTTTTTCATCTAATTTATCGTATGCTGTAGTTTAAAGATGACAAAAAATTATAAAATTCATGTATTTATTATATTAATTATTTACTGTGGGTAAGCTCCGTTAGGACAAGGTAAGCTCCGTGAGGACAAGTGTCTTCGTTTTATTAATTATTATTTATTGAGTGGCAGGTTTTCTATGCACAATAAATATATTTTCTAATTCAAAGTTTTTATTTTATGGAAAGAAAATCATTAATCTAACTGGATAGTGGCCTTAAACAATATTTTTAATGTTTCAAAATAAGTGGTTTTAAATTATGACATACTGAAGACCATAAGAAATGTATAAATTTATTTGATAGTAATAAAGCATATATTTTCTTATATATGTGAGAAGCTTTAGTAATGATAAATGTCCAATATAAAATATTGCTTTTGATGTCTTTCATAATTTTTATTTTAAAAATATATCACTTTTATGTTTGTCAGATGAGTAAAGAATTTAAAATGGCATTTTGTTTTCAGAGCCCTGTACTGTTAATGTGGATTTCATGAACAGAAACAACATAGAGATGAAGTGGAAATACGAGGGAAAAGTCTTACATGGAGATTTAATAGATTTTGCCTGTAAACAGGGGTTTGCCTTAGCTCCATCCACTCCACCGTCCGAGTTATCTGTGCAGTGCAATAGAGGAGAAGTGAAATATCCTTTATGTATTAGAAAAGGTAAAACAATGGTGCTTTCTGATAATTTCTTACTTCATCAATGTCTGCCACCTGGGTTGAAAGTTTATATACCTAGATAGAAGGACTATGCTGACATCTTTTAATTCTAGTAAGTCGATTTTATGAAGGGAAAAAATCAAGAGGTTTTATAAATGCCACCAGACCATCAGAGAACTGATCACACTCACGTGAGCATTTGACAACATTGTAAAACATCACTTTACTTGGGGACTGCTGGGGAGCATTGTCTCGGAAAAGGGCTTGATGCACAGTGTGAGAGACTTTTTGTACTGCCCGGATTCAGGAACTATTACTTTTTTTTTTTTTTTTGAGACAGAGTCTCACTCTGCTGTATCGAATAGAGTGTAGATACATCATCACAGCTCACTGCAACCTCAAACTCCTGGGCTCAAGTTGTCCTCTTGCCTCAGCCTCTGGAGTAGCTGGGACTACGGGTGCATGCCGCAACCCTTGGCTAATTTTTTTATTTTTAGTAGAGATGGGGGTCATGCTCTTGCTCAGGCTGATCTGGAACTCCTGAGCTCAAGCAGTCCTCCTCCCACCTTGGCCTCCCAGAGTGCTAGGATTACAGGTGTGGCCAGAATCATTACTCTTAATAAGAAAAAAAGGGAGGCAATACATACGGAAAGCATGGGTTCAAGAGAAATCTCATACACTTTCACTTTCGGCTAGATAAAAAGGGAAAAATAAAAATCACAATTTTTAATACTTTGATAGTTTTAAATAAGTATTTGAATATTAGAACATGGGATTCTAATTGTAAAAATAAATTTTATGGTATGATATTGCAAAAATATTTCCAATATTTAAAAATTATTTGAGAACTGCCTAAAAAACGCCTTTGCATAAAATAGCTCATTTTATCTCTGTAGCAATTATAAAAGCACCGCATGCTCATTATAGCAATTCATTATATACTTTAAAATTTATTTTTGCAGAATCTAAAGGAAGGTGTGCATCTCCTCCACTTATTAAAAATGGAGTCATAATTAGTTCAATAGTAGAAACCTATGAAAATGGTTCTTCAGTAGAATACAAATGTTTTGATCACCATTTCCTACAAGGGTCTAAGGAGGCCTATTGTTTAGAGGGAGTGTGGACCACACCACCAGCGTGTTTAGGTATGTACTACTAAATATGCCTCTATTTAATAAAGTAAAACTATGTATTTTTAACGTCTGTCATTTTTTCATTAACATAACACTAATATGCTTAATTTACTGCATTTGTGTTATTTTATTAGTGTGCCTATTTAATCACTGGTTTCTAGTCTTTCTTTTAGATCATAAATAACTATAGTCCAGTTTGCTGTAATAAGTATTTATTAAGTGCAAATCATGTCTCAGGTACTCATTTGGTATGGGCCTATAAGATGAATAAACCACAGTGGTGTGGGTAAACATGTTAACAATTTTTATTTAATATGATTGGTACTACAACAGAAAACATCAGTGCAGTTGGGGAACAAAGATAGCAATGGCCACCTCAATATGGAAAGATGAAGCAAGTTAATACCTTTATGTTAACGCTTCCTAATACAAGTAACGACACTTACCAAGGCCCTCAGAAGCATTAAATAGCATATCTATAAACAATAAGAAAGTATTTCTTTGTTTCCAATTCTGACTTTTCTTTCTCTTTCTTATCTTATTTCACTGGCTTGGACAATGTTGAATGGAAGAGGTAGTGGATATCTTTGTTTCCCAATCTCATAAGTAAAACTTTCAATAATTCACCTCTAAGTGCAGCGTCAGACTTTTAATAAAATCAAGTTAAAGATATAGAAAGCTTCTCTTTCTATTTTGCTCAGAGTATTTTTAAGAATCATCAACAGGTGTGTAATTTTAGCAATATCTGTTCAAATAATTGTATGATTATTACTTTTGTGTTTTCCCTGCAAATTTAGTAAACTATATAGTTTCTTTGCAAACGTGAAAGCATAATTGTATTTCCATAGAAATCCCACATGGTTGTGATGAATTATGCTTCTTGTATATTGTTGGATTTTATTTGCTAATATTTTACTTAGGAGTTTTGTATCTGTTTTCATGAGAAAGATTGGTCTTTTAGTTTCCTTTCAGGTTTAGTATAAAGTTTATGCTCACCTCATATGAATTGGGAAGTATTCCCTCTTTTTCGTTTCTCTGGAATTTGTGTAAGACTGGTGCTATTAATTTTAAGAGTCTGCTAGAGAAGCCACCTTAATCCTGAATTTTCTTTGTGGAAAGACAAATTGACAGTTTTAATTTGTCTAATAGTTGTTAGGTTATTATCTCCTCTGTCAGTTTTGGTAGGGTGTGGTTTCTTGGAATTTGTCCCTTACATCTAAATTGTCAAATTCATTGACATGGTTTATGATATTCTCTTAGCCTCTTTTTACTGTTTGTGGTGATGTATCTTTTGTTATTACTTCTATTAACATGTTTCCCTGTATTCCTCGACATATCTTGCTAAGGTAAGGTCTCTACATTTTATTAGACTTTTCAAACAACCAACATTTGCATTTGTTGATTCTTTTACCAAATGTTGCTCTCTATTTCATTAATTTATGCTCTTATCTTTATTATTTTCTCTCTTTTACTTTCTTGGATTTATTTTATTACTCTTTTTCTAGCTTGTTTAGATGGATACATACTGATTTTCAGCTTTTATATTTTTTCTAACACATGAATTTTAGGATGCAAATTTCCCTCTGAGCACAACTTTAACTTCATCCAACACATTTTTATATTTTGGATTTTATTATCATTCGGTTAAAAATTTTTATAATATCCATTTTGATATTTCCTGTGTGCTCTGAATCATTTAAAAGTTTCTTTTTAGGTTCCAAATATTCTGGTTTTCTTTTGGTTACTGTTTTCTAGTTTAATTCCACTGAGACACACTTTGAATTATATCTGTACTTTCAAATTCATTGATACTTGATTTATAACAAGCAAGTATTTGCTTTAGGTAAATGTTCTTTTGTACTTGAACAAAATTAACTTTGTCATTGTTGGGCTCACTGTTGTTGTATATATGTCAATTGGATTAAATTTTGTTTTCAATGTTTAAGTTCATCCATAGCTGTACTGATTTATGATTGGTTTTCTATCAGTTACCACGAGATATGTGTTAAAGTCTGACTTGGAATTTTAAAACATTTCTTATTTTAGTTCTGTCAGTTTTTGCTTTTGTGTTTCGATGCTATTATTAGGTTCACACAAATTGAAACATGTTAAGTCCTGGCGTGTTGGCACCGTATAATTTTAAAAGAGCCCTTGTTTATCTACAGTAATGCTTTGTTTGGTTTTTTTCCTTGAAGTCTCCTTTAGCTGCACCTGAGGGCTTTTGACAAGAATTTACACATACAATTGTATACAATTTTTCATCACTTAACTTTCAACCTTCTGGGTTCTTACCTTTAATGTACATCTCTCATAAGCAATATATACTTAATTTATTTAAAAATATACTTTTTCAATCTGATAATTTTTTTCTTTATAAAGGATTATTTAGTCTATTTACATATTAATATAATTACTGGTATATCTGGGTCTAATCACCATCTTACTATACTAAATGGATATCCTATCTGTTCTATATTCTTTATTTTCTCTCTTTAAACTGTTTTTACTTTCTTATGGACAAATTGATTTTTTTGTTATGATATTTCATTCTCTGTTAGCTTGTTAATTATACTTTCCTTTAGCTTTCCATTAACTGTCATCGTAGAGATTATACAATCCAATCTCGATCTATACAATCCAATATAAATTAATACTTTTACCACTTTTCTGGGGCCTTAGAACACTGACTTTATTTACCCTTCCCATTTTTTGTATTATTGTCTCATGCATTTTAATTCTACATATAATTTATTTCAAAGATATTATTAACTTTATTGTTTTGTCTAACGATATTCTTTTAGATGTACCTACAAATTTATCAATGCGTTTGCTCCTCATCTTCTCCTGTTTTCTCTGTTTCTCATTAGGATAATTTTACTTATTACTGGTCTACCTGCTGATAAAAAAATAAAAATAAAAATAAAAATTTTACTTATGCCTGAAAACAATTATTTCTTTATTATCTTCTCAGTTTTTGTTAGTCTGCAAGTATTTTTATTTTCCTTCATTTTTGAAAGATATTTTTACCTGATATAGGATTTTGATTGGTCCTTATTTTCTTTCAGTGCCTTAAAATATGTCATTTCATCCTTTTCTGGTTTTTATCATTTTTGTTAAATAGTCAAATGCCATTCCTAATGATACTTCTTTGAAGGTAATGTATCTTTTTGTTCTCTGCAGTTTTTCAGATTTCTCTTTGCTTTTGTTATCAGCAGAGTATTTATTTTGGCCCAGATATGGGTTTCATTGTACATTTTATTCATACTAATTCAAGTTAGTAGCATTCCTTGAATCTTGATGTGCTTGATGTCTTTTATAAGTTTTAAAATGTTTGGCTAATATCTTTTCAAATGTTACTTTAGTTACATTCTCTCTCTTCACTCTTTCTGTGATACCATAATACACATATTATATCTTCTGCTATGTCTTTGTCTCTTTAAAACTGTATTTTCTCTCTTTATCTCCTCTTTATTTCAGTTTAGTAATTTTTACTAATTTTTTGGTAATTTTCTCCTTCTATCATATCTTTGTTTTGGTAATTTTCTTCCAGTTTAGTAATTCTCTCTTTAGATGCGTCCAATCTGCTTTAAACTCATCTATTGAGTTCTCAATTTCGGCTATTATTTTTGCATTTCTAGAATTTCCACTTCATACTTTTTTCTTTTTCGTAGATTTGAGTTGTCTGATGAAAGACTCCATCTTAACACTGATTTCTCGACCATAGTAATCTTACTTATCATTAAGTCCTGTCTGCAAACTCCAATATCCCTGGATCATCCTGTAGGCCTGTTTCTGTTTTCTAACACTATTTCTTGCTATTTCTGTTAACAGTTGATTGAATATCAAATATTACGTATGAAAAAATTTAGGAGCTTGGGGTGATGTCATCTTACACCAAAGAATACTCACCCCACCCTCTGGCTGAAAGTTAGGATAAGACCAGTTGGTGTCAATCCAATTCGAAATGAAGCTCTCTCTAAGTTTATTTTCAGAACTTCATTTGCCCTTAGGCATAGAAAGTAACCTCCAGGGCTCTTTACTGAGAGTGTGCAGTGGGTACCAAAGCTCCTCCTCCCAGGTTGGCTCTGGTATCGGGAATCTGCCAAACGCCCAGAGTAGCTGTTTATTCACTTCCTGCTTGGATCTTCTTCCTCTCCCTCTGCATAAGTCAAGAATAGACAAATACCTCAAGGGAGAAGCCAGTGCGGGGTATCAAGCTCATTTCTCGACACCTCCCATCCCCGAGTTCTTTATTTCTCAAGTCCTGGCTGTCTTGGCCAGAGCCCAACTCCCATTTTCCTGCCCTCAACCCTGTGAGATTTTCAGAAGCTCTCCTGGCCCTGTGCCTGTTGCTGCCTGTTCTCTGTCTAGCCTCTCAGCTCAGGCTGAGGATCAACAAACACCCCAAGAGGAAAACGGCACATTGGATATTGAATTCATCTGAGCAAACTTTTCCCAGAACCTTAGCTCCTTGACTGCCTCGGAGGTTCTCTGATATTTTGAAATACTTGCTTTTTTGTCTGTTTTTCAGATTTTCTAGTTCTTAGTAGAAGTGCTGCTCGGAGATAAGCTACTCCGTTATAGCTGAAAGCATAAGGTCTATGAATCAATTTTTAAATTTGTTTTAATAAAAATCCCATGTTTCGTAGAACAACGGCATTCTAAATTGTAGTACTATTTGTACTCGTTTTCGAAACTATTTTCTGGTGACTTTAGAGATTCTAAGGAGTCTTTCTAATAATTCTTGTTCATTTTTATTGTCTGTAGCAATTCTAGCATAACATTTTATGCATAGGCACTTAATGAATACTTGAAAAATAACTTAACACAGTAGTCCCCTCTCATCTGTAGTTTCACTTTCTGTGGTTTCGGTTACTCATTGTCAACTGCAGTTTGAAAATACTAAATGGAAAATTTCAGGGATAAACAACTCATAAGTTTTAAATTGTGTGCTGTTCTGAATAGCATAATGGAATCCTGTTGCCATCCTCTCCTTACCACCCCAGAGATGCCAAAAAGAAGCCACAAAGTACTTTCTTTAAGTGAAAAGGTGAAAGTTCTTGACTTAATAGGAAAAGAAAAATAAGCCTATTCTGAGGTTGCTAAGATCCACAGTAAGAATGAATCTTGTATGCATGAAGTTGTGAAGAAGGAAATAGAAATCCATGCTGGTTTTGTTGTCCCACCTCAAACTGCACAGAGCAGGATAAATGCTTAGTGAGGACGGAAGAGGCATTACAACTGTGGGCAGAAGACGTTCTGACCGATGGCAACAGGGTTTGGTGCTATCTGTGGTTTTAGGCATCCACTGGGGGTCTTGGAATGTATCCCTCATGGACAAGGGGAGACGACTGTAAATAAGTTTGTTAAGGTATTACAGGTGTATATATGAGATTGATATGCTGTATTCGCAATTCTGGACTTTTTACCTATTCTGGAAGTTACTCCTTAATGCTATGTTATCCAGGAGGCAAATAAGAACATGAGAAATCCCATTTTCTTAAATAATTTGATGATTTTAAAAAATCAATATTTTTATCATGGGAAAAAATCGAAAAGCTTTGTTGGGTATCCTAATGCATATCTTAGGTTTTTGTTTTGTTTGTATTAATACATATGGGAAAGGACACAATTATAATACTGTCCATGCTTAGAATTTAAAACATCCTAATCCAATCCTGATATTCCTTAATTAGAAATTTAAAAGATAGGAAACTGTGAACCACTTTGTATGGCGTCAGTTTATAGAGTTTGGTTCAATGTCAAGAATCTAGCTTGTGGCTACGTTTCCATAAAATATTATCTATCCAGCAATTAATGATTTGTCTTGTGAGTATTTTATTTGAGCTTTATGAGGAAGAAAAACGGAAAAGAACATTGTTTCGATGACCATTAGTAACGGCCAGTGCTCCTGAAAAACACCTTTATTTTTTGTTTGCTATCTTTGAAAAACCTAACGGCATAAAACTAAGTGACTGGCGGGACATGTCCTTTCTCCACATCCAGGACCACAGAGATAAATGGTGCACAGTTTTCTGTGAGGTTTGAACTTATTTTCTGACTCACATGTTAGTTCTAGCTAACTTCCTTGCCGTTCACATGCCTGGGAATTTTGAATTCATCATGATTCCTGTTAGGACCAAGATGGATCAAGATACTTTTCTTCTTTTTATTCCCTCCCTCCAGAGCCTTGCACGTTATCTTCGGTTGAAATGGAAAAGAATAATTTACTCCTGAAATGGGAATTTGACAATAGACCACATATTTTCCATGGGGAATATATTGAGTTTCTTTGTAAGAGAGATACTTATATAGCTATGCCGTATATTATTGAATCTGAACTTAGAGTGCAGTGTGACAGAGGGCAGTTAAAATACCCGAGATGTGTTCCAAGAGAAAGGTAAGAAGAGGCTTTCATCTAAAGCTGTTAATTTTTGTCAGATTGTTATCCGAGATGCCTTATGCTATAAATTTCAGAAATGTTATGTTGTACAACACCCCTACTCTATGGTCATTGGAAAGGAAAAAGAATAATATTTTCTTCATTTTTTTTAAAAAAAACACAATCTAAGAAGTATTAATTAATTCAACAAGTTTTCTGTGTTGTCTTCAGTCAAAGCAATGCTTGCCGTTTGATATTCATGACACTTTGGCAATTGGAAAAATATATAAATTTATATGTGCAATATTTAAATGTGCAAAATTAACCTGTATGTTCTGAGATAAGAAAAAAAAATTACATTTTCTCCTACTTCTCAGTATAAGGTCATGCATAACTAATAAAAGTTGGAAAACACAGTTGTATGAGCCATTCTACTAAGACAAGAGCATATTAATAATAATTATTAAAATTATAGTATTTATTCTCAGGACCACATTTGTATATAACTATTGAGAATCACTGAAGTGTTTCCTCACATGACAATTTAAAAAATACATTTTCTAGTACTTATGGAAAATAATCTTGTTCTTTTCTTGGAGGAATATTAAAAGGGTACAATAATATGATGTAAACCATTTTACAGGATCAGAATTTTGACACTTTTGCAGATATTATATAAAATGGAAATTATATTTTGTGTTCAATTGAGAATATTAAAATAATAACCAATGGCAAAGTGCGTGTGGTCCTGTTCTAGTAATTGCAAACAATAAACTATATGAACTACATTTCAACTTTTTAGATACTTTGAACACTCTAGAAAAAAATTCATGAGACACACTGGTGAAAAAAAATTTATTTTTATTTTTAATTGTGGTAAAATCAGGGTGGAAAAGTTTTATTGCTATTTAAATGTTTTAGTATAGCATGGATTTTCATTTCCAAGAGAAAAAGGAGTAAATAACTTAGAAAAAAAAAAGTTAAAAATGGTGTTAGTGTAGTAAATGATATTGAGCCTTTAAAAGGAAACTGATGGTATTATCCACCAAGAGAGTTACTTGCTCTTATTAATACTTAATTAAAACAATGACTCATTATATGAAATGTTGAAGGGCGAAGAGTGTAATAAATACTTGACCAGAATTGATGCTTATTTAAAAAAATCTCTTTTTCTCTATCTTTCTCATCAAGGATTCTGTCTTACCAAGAACACTTAAGGACATAGAATTGAATGGCTGAAAGAGCACTGGTATTTCAACATATCATAAAATCCCTTATAAAACATACTTTTTAGAAGAAATATGTTGAGTTAAAAACCTTTAAATTTTTCCTTGCTTGAGTATATGAATCTGAATTGTTTGGGCTGAACATTTTCTTTATTTATAAACAAAAGTTAGAAAGAGTTGCCTAATTTCTATGGAAATTTCTATGGATGATTTAACATATAACTTAATCTCTATTGTGTGTCTTCCATCTGTTAAAAATTAATCCAAACATTACAATATTTCCATTTTCTAACGCCTGTTGACTGGACTATGTCACTGTCTATGTGCTACATGTGCAAAAATGTCACATTCACGTTCATTATCACCTGCATTAATATTAAAGTTTTTGTTGCTTTTAATTTGATGTTTATGTCTATTAAAGAACCTAACACACATGAGATAAGAAACTGTGTTATGTTAGATGATTCACTTTATTAAATGCAGAAGAGACTGCCCTTCAGCACTTCTAAATGTAAGGAACTTTTAAAATTAACCGTAATATTTGCTACAAAATGAATAATCAAATTGTTTGTGGGGTAGTAACTACTCACATGTTCAAATATTGTTAAAGCAACACAATTAAAGAAAGAATGGCCTTTTTTGGGAAGTGTATTTTACACTTTCCAAGTAATGGTTTTCAGATCAGATGATTGTTGGAACTGTGCAGATGACAGTCTGAAATCAGTGGGTCCCACAAGCACCAAAGAATGACGGTGTCAGCGTTACCAAGGTCTGTTGGAAACCTGAAACAGCAGCATTGTTACTTTTCCATCTGAAGTGACGGTTTTACTTCTCACTGTTATTGTAGCTCATTCGTAAATGCATGTGATAGCGCTACCTGGTGACCAGACGGCAGGGCCCCTATTAGGACTGGTTGTTGGTACGAGCACATCAAATTTTCCTCTCTAGAATCTATCCAGTTCCTATAATCAAGATCTTAGTATCCCATTATGATGACATCCTTCAAACCCCTAAGCTGTTACACAATTCTCTACTGCTGGGCTATGAAATAGCTTCTTCTGGAAATGAAGCCACAGCTGGACCTAACTTTGTGGATTAAATATTAACTCATACGATATTCAACATGTATATTTTAGGACTGTCCTTGAGTTCATATTCATCATTTTAATTAATCTCCTATAGCAGGTTTCCACAAGGATCCCACGATTGAAATTTGATTGAAATTAAGCATCAATAGGAAAATATTACTTTTTTTAAATCAATTTATCAATCAATTAAAAAACATTATTGAACACCTGCTATATCCCAGAAAACATGCTAGTGCCGAATTCAGAGATGACTAAAATTCACCTCATTATCTCAAGGAACCCACAAAACAAGGAACTGTTCGGTTTAGTAGAGGAGACAAACATGTATCAGCAGTTGCAAACGCAAATGCCTAAGGGGCCAGGCGTAGCACATGGATGATGAATGTGGTTTGTCCAGCACTATCCCTCGGACCTGCGGACGGCCTGCCCTGTTTAACACGGGCAACTGCTTCTCGGCTCGGGCTCCCACAGTTGTCATGTGGAAACACATACCCACTTTTTCCATACCTTCTGATTTATTAACTGCAAAATCTACTGATTTTTACATGTTGGAGGGAGATAAAACATTCTGTGGGCAACGTGGCTCAAAGTTGCCAGTTCGTAAACTCCAAATGCTAAAGAAATAAGAGCATGAGAAATCCAACAACGCAGGCATGAGGTGGCAGTTAAATTTTTTTTGGTGTGGGTAGGGTAAAGGTTTCCTGGAAAAAAGGTTAAGTGAGTCTGAGAAGTGAGACTGGAAAAGACATTCCAAGTAGAGGGAACAGCACATGCGATCGCAAATCTCCAGCTCAGACCACACGCAAGGCAGAGTGCTGAGCACTGCAGCGAGACAACGAATAACACGCACACTGTTTCTGCTCTCCGGCGCGGTGCTATGGTGGGGAAGAGAGATGTGAGCAAATCCTCACAAGGTGCGGCACGCCAGGAGAGGCTCTCTTTCCGTCAGTGGAAACACCAGATGAGGCAGCCTGGCCATGGATGTTCCAGAAAGTCTTCAGTGAGGAAGAGGCGCCTAGGCTGAGAGCGGAAGGGAGAAAAGTATTCAGGCAGAGGAAGAACATGTGGGAAACAGCAAAGAACACAGTGTTTCCAAGAAGCTAATAAAAACCCAGGATAGGTCGAGTGGAAAGGCATGAAAGAAAGAAAGACGTCAAGTGAAACCTGGAGAGCTGGGAGGCCTGATGGTAGAGCCCTTTGTGGGCCAAATTGAAGATTTTGGAAGTCACCGAATGGAATGAGATGCTTACAAGCGCATTTTAAAAAGATACTACTAGGCTGGAAGCAGTAGCCCTCACCTAGGACTTTGGGAGTTGAGGCAAGAGGATCACTTGAGTCCAGGAGTTTGAGACTAGCCTGAGCAAGGGCGAGACCCTGTCTCTACAAAAAAATAGAAAAAAAAAAAAAAGAAAAATTAACCGGGCACAGTGATGCACACCGATAGTCCCAGCTCCTCGGGAGGCTGAGGCAGGAGGATCACTTTGAGCCCAGGAGTTTGAGGTTGCTGTGAGCTATGATGACACCACTGCACTCCAGCCCTGGCAACAGAGCAAGACCCTGTTTCAAAAACAAAACAAAACAAAAAGACACCAGGACTGTAGTATGGAGAGACCGGTCTGAAGGGGGGAAAGCGTGGGCGTAGGGAAACCACTGAGGAAGACGATGCCATCATCCAGGCTCTGGTGGCAGCAGCAGGAATGGTGCAAACTGGGCTGAAATGAGAGATATTTAGAATGTGAAAACTTCACGTTGGTAATCGATTAGACGGGGGGTGGACGTGAGGCAGAGAAGAGTTCAGGAGGACTTGAAGGTTTTGGTTTGACCAAGTGGATGACGGCCACCTGCGTGGTGGGAAGAATGAGGAGGAGAAGCAGTGAGAAGCATGGGGACTGGCACGAGGAGTTCAGTTTGGAAACGTATTTTTGAGGTGTCTGTGAGACAGTCAGTGAAAATACTAAGTGAGCAGCTGATTCTTGCGGTCGACGCACCACCCAGATTCCCTTCCGAGATGAAAGACTTACTCCTCCGGCTGCTAGGAGCCCTCTCACCGGTGCCCTGAAGGGCTCGTCTCAGTGGAGGAGCTTTGCAAGGTCATGGCTCCTTCTCAGGGCGGCCTGCACCGGTGCCTGGTCAGCAGGAGTTCTGGAGAAAAGGCCCCTCACCTGAGCTTAGACAGCTCTAAGGGGTCATCCCTGCTGCTGAGCCCCCACTGCATCGGCGGGGCCTCTGGTCGAAACAACGTTGCAGCTCAACTTCTCCCCTTCTGCTTCCTTCTTTCCTTCCCGCAGGTGCGGATCCCGAGACTCCCTGAAAATCTTCTTGGCTGTTCATTTCCATCTCAGAACCTGCCCAATCTGTAAGACCATGTGAGCCTGGGGTCCAGAACAGAGCACTGGGATAATTCGGAGTCTATCAGTCAGTAAATGTTTATTAAAACTAAGGTCATAGGTGAGTTTTCATGGTGAAGATACACACAGGCCTAGTTCGGGGCTGTGGGGCACCCAGAGTTTAGTGATCGGGTAGGACCAGGTACAACGAAGGGAACGGATAGGAATGGTTGGACTGTTTGAATGTAAACCAGAGCAGATGGGGACTGAAAATGCCGCTTGGGTGTTACTGATTACCTCGAAAGAAACGGCGTCGAGTATAAAATTGAGACTGGAGTAGGACGAGGAGTAAACGTGAGGTACAAAAAATAGACACGCGAACGTAGTGAGCTTGTTGTCAGTAAGCCTGACAACGACCGGAGAGGTAGGAATGAAGGAGTCGTTTTTAATAAAATGGGAGAAATTTGAGTATGGAACTTAGATGGAAATGGTCAGTGGAAAAGCACAGGTGGAAGACGCGGGGAAATATCACATAACACACCGCAGAGGATTCCTGAAAACGTGAGACGAGATGGGACCAGAGGCAAAGTCGGGGGATGGCCCTGGGCTGGGAGGAGGGCCTGGATTTGTGGCCAGAATGAGGTCACTCATGTCACGTGCTGTTTATTTCCTCCGGGAAAGAGGCGTCACCTGCCAAGAATGTGGAGAGAGGTTGCAGAGTTGAGGAGACGAGAGAAAATTTGGCAAAGTCACGTGGAGAGAGAGATGGTGGCAGAGGCAGAGGGCTGCTGGATGAGAAGCACCGTCCGGCAAGGGGCTTTGTCGTAGCTCACGGAACTGTCACTTCAGTTAGGCGTGTCGGCGCTGGGGGTGATGTTACGACACTCACCACTTTGCTTTATAAAGAACTTACTGTAGTAAGGTAATTTTTACCGTAACGGATGTGAAAGCAAACTTTGTCACCCTGTAGTGCGGGACACTGAGTCAAAGTTCAAAGAAGCACTAACGTGTGATCGCCCTAGAACATTCCACAGCCAGGAAGGGTGCTGCCCACATCTGCATGGAGAAACTTTAATTTTTCAAAGGGAAGTTAAGAATTCATAAGGATCTGTCTTTTTCTTCCTGAAAAAGAAAGATCAAAATGCCGAAAACCTTACACATTAAAACTGAATTCAGGAAAGCCCAGCATGATTCCATTGAGAAAAAATGGAGAAAATGAGAAGTCAAAAATGTCTAACCACAACTGAGTAGTTTGCCTAATGTGTGCTTCTCAAATATAAATAAAAAACTAGTTATTAGACGATAGATAAGGTTTCAATTTGACAGACATTTTAATTTGTTTTTATGTACTTTCAAAATAACGTGAGAAAATAAAAATTCAGTTAAAATATTTCCTTAGCATCAAGTAAATTATTCTGTGACTAGCTATTTTAAGAATTACAATTTAAAGATAATTTATTATTTTTGTCAAATGGAACAGTAACTCTTTGACACTGTAAAACAATCAAAACAATACAAATGTAAATAGAATAAAGAATGAAATTCCCCTTATTGTCTCCAATACCCTGGATCTACTTCCTCTGTCCAGAGATGAGCGCTGCGAAGATTTTGCTCTGTGTCTTCCCAGATGTAAATATACACACTTAAATACCCTCAACAAAATATCAGTAAAAGATATAGAAGATTCTAACAATCAATACTCTATATCTTATGGATATATCAACTCTGTACCCTAATAATAAGAATATACTCTATTTTGGGCTGTGCATGAAACAGTCATGAAAATTTGCCATTTATTTGCGTTAGGGCATAAAGAAAATCTAAATTCCAAATGGATTAATATAAGCCATATTAATATGGTTACAGTGCAGCACATTTAAAACTTAAGCAAAATAAAAGGGTTGTTCTTCCTGAAAATATAAAAATGTTCTA